GGTCTTGCTAAAGTTGCTTAAACTTGTGGTCCTCCTGGCCTCAGCTTCCCAGAGAGCTGAGATTACAGGCGTGTGCCATCACACCTGGCTTGAAACGGTTTTTTAAGGATGAAACAAATGCATGTATTAAGGTTGTTAGGATTACTGGAAGAGATGGAAATATTAAATAATAAAAAGTAAAGAGAAAGTCTGTAGTAGAAATTTCAGTGTGACCTCAAGATTTTTAAAATTCCTGGCCAGATCACTAAAAGATGAGCACTGGAGTAAACCCCTCTCTCTTTCCAGACAGTGGCTTCTAAATGACTGCTCCCCATGAAAGGTGCTCAGGCTTCCCATGTCTGTGCCACAGAAAACATGACATTCTCAAAGGATCCAAGGTCATGTCAGGACAACACAGGGGCTAGTTTGAAGGGATTTTTATTTGCCAAATTTGTGACAACTGAAAATTCAAAAGACCAGGGGCTGGAGATTTAGCTCAGCAGCATAAGCACCTGCCTTGTAAGTGTGTGGTCATGAGTTTGATCCCCAGTACCGATAAAAAAGGAAAAAGACAAAAAAAATTTTCAGAAGACCAAGTAAGAGAACAGATTTTAATAGAGCAGATTTAAAAAGAAAATCCATGTTTTTTCGCTAGCCAAAACAAGACAAAAAACAACCAACAGCAACAACAAAAAGCCAGCAGTAATGTATGTGCAATGTGTCTGCCCAGGGAAGCCGTTAGAGGTTTACCCATGGTTTTTGGAGGGCTGGTTACTCAGGTAACCTCTGCCTACCATGTACCAGAGTCCCAGCCTCCTCGGAAGGAAGATGATGCTTGCCACAAATCACCTTGCTCGCTCTAGACGTGGGAACCACTTCGTTGCTTAGAGATGGATGAGAGCCAGATTTTCTTTTGCCATCCAAAGGCTGATCCTGGAAGTGGGTGCTTTTGAAGATTGCATCCCTAGATCTGATGATTGATTGATTGATTGATTGATTGAATGTATTAGGGATTGTACTCAGGACCTGTGGAGTCACACAACTTTTTAAATTTTTTTATGTTCAGACAGGATCTTGCTAAGTCACTAGGTTGCCCAGGCTGGGCTTGAACTTTCTACCTTCCTGCCTCAGCCTCTTAAAGAGTGTTGGGGTTACAGGTGTGTGCCTCCACACCTGGCAGTAGCTCTGCTGAATTAACTGTTTTACATGTAGAATAATCACACACAAGCAAAAATGAATACTAATGATCTGAATGAGAAAAAGAAGCCCTAGGTCTCAAAGGTTAGGTACAGAAAGTTCATTGAATTCTTTGTACTTATGTCAGAGCTTATGAAAATGAAGTTAATTGATTTAATGCAGTTCCCTAAACAGTTATTAAGACGGTGTGCACAGAGATGAAGAGACAGTCCCTGCTGTGGCAGAAATCTTGTGGGAACAGGTGTACCATAAACAGGGACTGCAGGGTAATATGTTATAATAAAGGTGATTGCGGAGTCGTAGGAAGCTATTAATTCTGCTGATGGAAGTGAGGAGGAGGGAAGAGGAATTACCATTTGACCTGGACTCGGAAAGCTAGATGCCAGCAGGCATGGGAGCTTAGAAGGACATTCAGCCCGAGGAAGATGAATGCTGGCAAGTTCCCATACTGTTTGTATGTCACTAATTTAATTCTCAGGACAGTCTTGTAAAGTAAGTGGTTTTATTAGCTTAAAGTGATAACACCTACATATTGGAAAATCAAGGATAGAAATAGAAAATGATGTAACTAAAATATGAACCCAGTGCCTGCTGACTTCAGAGCCATCCAATCTACACAATTTAGGAAATCCAAACCCCTCAAGCCATGAAATCTTTTTTTTTAAGTGGTTGCAACCAGTAGGGCCCCTTGGTGCCTGGTAGCAAATGCAAACTCTCTGGTAAAGAAATTGTTGTATCAGATGAAATAGAATTTTAGGCAAAGTGCATTTTTTTAGAAACTGAAAGCTCAGTTCATAATGATTAAGATTTCAGTGTACCAGGAAGTTCAGACTGGCCTTGAAGTCACTATGTAGCCTGTGCTGGCCTAGAACTCACATTGGTCCTCCTACCTCAGCCTCCCAAGTGCTTTGATAACAGGTGTGCATGCCGCACCTATCAGGTAAATATAATCATATTAAAGTTATATGCACCTAGTAACAGTCTTGATAATATGTGAATTAATGGAAGTGCTAGGAGAAGTGGAAAAATGTACAATAGTGTGATTTCTTAGAAATAAATAGAAGAAGATAAAATTCAGTAAGGATATAAATCATGTAAACTAATTAACATCAGCAAACCCAGTGTACATATATAGAAAACTACATCCAACTACTCAGATATTGGTTTTAAGTCTACACATAACAGTTTCTAAAGTTGGCTGAATATTGTTTCCTAGAGCAAGTCTCTATGAACTGGGAAGGACTTAAGTCACAGAGAATGTTCTCTGATCTCTTGCATTTGAGGTGGTTACAGTGGTACCCAAATTGGTTCACAAACCTAATTTGTTCTATGATTTCGGAAAAGATGGCTGCAGTTGTGGAGGTCACCTGATGCAAAGTATGCAGACAAAAAACAAATTTTGCTAAATGCTGTTTGCAAACCAAATTGTTTACAAACAAAGGTGAACCAAGGTACCACTGTATTAACATAATGATATCCAGAAAATCTCATGTGTTTGGAAATTAAACACTTCTCAACCCATGTTTCAAAGAAAAAATAACAGTGGAAATTAGAGAGTACTATACACTGAATGAAAATGAAAATACTACATTCAGAGCCTGAGCGATATAGCCAGAGTAGAATTTGTCAGGAAATTTATACTTTTTAAATACTTATATTACAAAAGAATAAAGGCTAAAGCTTAATGATCTCTGAACCTCTATTTCTTTTTTTTTTTTTTTTTTATAGTTTTTATCGGTACCAGGGATCGAACTCACGACTGCCTGCTTGCAAGGCAGGCGCTTGTGCCGCTGAGCTAAATCCCCAGCCCCTTGAACCTCTATTTCATGAAATTTGGAGAAGAATGCAAATTTTCCCAAGAACTTGAGGGAGGAAATAATGAAGAGAAGGACAGAAATAGAAAATTGAAGTAGGGGGAATAAAACTATATAGTTTTTGGAAGACAATCTGATAGATCTCTTGATAAAATTAAGGCACAAAACATACCTGCAGTGAAACAGAAGGCATAACCATACAAGTAACAGACCTTAAAAAGTTGAGAGAGTATCTTGGAACAGTGTCGTGAGATTGTAGTCTCAATATTTGAGAGGCTGAGGCAGGAAAATTGCTTGAGCCCAGAAGTTCAGGGCTAACTTGGGCAGCAGTGAGACCCATCTCAAAAACAGTTAAAAGAATGTCAATATTAAATGTTTGTAAATGGATAGATTTCATCTAGATGAGATAAAGTCTTAGAAAACAAAGATGATTTTAATCAAAGAGATAAAAACCAGATATCCTTGTAGCCCTCAATTTAATTTGTAGTACAAAATTTTGTCAGGAAGATTTGAGTTTCAGCTTGCTTCACTGTGGAGTCCTGTCAGACTTGAAGAAGAAAATATCGCTCCGTAACAAGTCACTTGATATGTATTGCTTTAAAACAATAATATTGTTGCATCAGGATTTTAGCAAGAGTTAAAGGGTTGTTCTGCTTGGACCCCTTCTGAGGTTGTAGGCGGGTGTTAGCTGGTTGTAGGGTACTCTGGTGTGTACCCATCAAGGATGTCTTACTGTGTTGGCAGTTCGGGGCCCACATGTGAACTCTTGAGTGTTCTCTGTGGTTAGTGTCCTCAGTGGCACTCGGTGTGAGTGGTTAGTGCCACTGTCATCTAACCTGGTGGTAGCGAACCCATGGCGCGCCTGTGCAGTCAGGTGTTTGTTATCACTGAAAACTAAAAGATTTCGCCATCACCGATCTCACCCCAAAAGCCACGCTGTTGTTTCCTGTGTTGGTCAGTTTTTCATTACTGTAACAGAGTAATGAGCCCGTAAAGAGAAAAGGTTTGTTTTGGCTCATCATTTCTCATCCATTGAAAAAAGTGTGAAGTAATTTCACTCTAAATCATGCTGCTAAAGATCTGTAGCAGTTTCTGGGAATAAATGAATAATTGGAGAATTCTGATCTCTTCTGGTTCAGGTTTGGTTGGGCCTTAAGAGAGTGTGGTGCCTGAGGCTGCGGCTCTGTGGAGCTGGGTGGACCCCCAGCCTGCTGGGATTGTGTGTCCTGCGCGTCCACCACTCCAGTGCCATCCTGCTCTCTTCTCCACCCTTACTGCCGTCTGGAGTGTCTGTTCCTTAATCACTGATAAGACCATCTCCCGGCAAGTGACTCACTGGTTCTGCTAGATCTTTCTGTAGTGTGTCTCACGGAATGAGCCTCAGAGACCTGTGCATTTATTTCCCCACGGTACCTCGTAGCCCTGGCCGTGTGTGCCGTTTTCAGAATGGGCTGATTCAGTTCCCAGGCAGGGCCTCAGTCTCTGACAGGTGCAGACAGGCACAGAAGGGCCTTCTGCAGAGCTGTGACTAAGCCGCGTGTTCTCCTGGGAGACCCAGGCCAGGAGGAGAAGACGCTCCTGGTTTAATTTCACCTTCTGCTCATTGAAACACCTTCTTCTAAGGATCAGCTCAAGGTTTTATAGGCAAATGGATGCAACTTGAGACGTACTCATAAGTGAAAGGCATCAGACACACATGTGTGAACAGTGTATTATCTCACTAGTGTGAGAAGCTGAAGAGACAACATATGTATATGATGCATATGAAAGTAGTTAAGATAGCTATAAAAGTTATACACCGATTTCTCTGAAGAGAAAGGTTTGCACTGGTATTCAGATGATTGAACGCAGATGTCTTGTGCTCTGGGTGAGTGATTTGGGGATGACAATGCACAATGTATGTATCCTTGTTGCCCCCTGATTGATGTGTTTTGAAATAAAATGGATTTGAAAAAAAATTAAATAAAAATGAAGTAAAATGCCTTCTCCTGTCCTTGTCTCTTTTCACAGAACCCTGCCATCAGCATCACTGAAAACGTGCTGCATTTCAAAGGTCAGTCCCCCGCCACTGTGCAGCTCTGCAGGGAAGAGGCTGGGTGGGTTCCCTTGCTTTTTATGTAACTCACTTCTTATTGATGTTTCCCCCTTTGAGACACCAGGGAATAAACTTAATTATTTGAAAATGCGATGGGCGTGGCTGGGGATACAGCTCAGTGGCACAGTGTCTGCCTGGCAAGCACAAAGTCCTGAGTTCAATTGCCAGCACCAAAAAAAAAAAAAAAAAAAAAAAAAAAAAAAAAAAATTCAAAGAACTTGAATAGAGCCTTGCTTTCCCCTGGGAAAGACTGTAGGTGCTGGGAGATGGAATCCTGGGCTAGAAATCCAGAGATCTACCTTTTGGCTTGAATTCTGCCACTATCTTAGACAAATTAGTGACTCTTCTGGCCCTAGAAAGGGAAAGGAATGTGCTAGGTTATAACCCGTCTCTGACCTGCGGTCACCTGAGAATGTGGTCACAGGCCTTTCGGGCTTCCCAGACCCAGCCTGAGAATTGCGAAGCATTAAATGTCCCTTTGAGTGATGCTGGTCTCTGCTGCACCTGTGACCACAGGGCACACACAGCCACTGAGCTTGTGTGGCAGTGATACAGGGGAGTGAAACTCCTACTCTATGTCCAGTATGAGTTTGTGTTCTCTAAAATCAAAGAATGAATTTTAGGAACAGTGGAGGTTAGGAGTGGAATATATTTATTGAGAGAAAGAAAGCTTCTGAGTGACAGAAGGGGTCCCGAGTGGGTTGCCAGGGACTCCGTCTTTTCTAGGGACTTTATAGAGTAAAATCATGAGGTTAATGGGTTAAAGGTGGGGAAAATGGGAATTTGCAGGGTGGGCATGTGGTAGGACAGAATTGTGGTCAAACCAATGAGATTAACTGCTCAGGTAAAGTTGATTGAATTAGGAGCAAATAGGGGCAGGCTTAACAGCAGGGGCTCTTCCTGAAGGGGTGGGACGCTGACTCCTGACTCCTGGGGTGATGGAGTGCTGTTTGGACTGTCCATCCTTAGGATGTGGTGTATTTGCTTTGTCTTTTGCCTTCTGGTCTGGCCCACAGCGGGGGATGACTCTCTCTTCCAAGGCTGCAAGGTATCTGGCCTTCCTGCTGGCTCCTTTCAGGACCCAGCGCTGTCTGACTGCCTGGAATTCTAACTAACTCAGCTGCCTGTAACAGCAGGACTAGAGATTGCGGGATATGCTGCTTTTAAAAAAGATGATAGTGAACACAAAAAGCCGAAATTGGCTTGATGAGATCCACCAGTTGGGCAACACTCTGGCCCCCGTCTTTCCCTACATCTCTTCTGTCCTCTGCTTGTGGCAGGCAGTATACTCCCTTGCCCGGTGGGTGGCTCTGATTCATTGTCCCCCTGTGGAGTGCACTCACCCTGCCCTCTCCACTCCTGGGCTCATTGGAGAGTGAAGTTGTTTCATTACGTGGGAGGCTACTTCTGAAGGGTTGCCAAGGAAGTACAGTCTGGCATTTGTGTCTGCTTTTCACGATGAGAGTAGCGGTGGTAGCAGCTCAGGTTTTTCGAGAAATACAGTGGTACCTTGGTTGATGTATTTTATTTATCCCGCGATTCTGGTCGCAGCCAAATATTATATGCACTGAACCACCATGTGTGCCTTTGAAAGGAAGTTTAAGCGATCAAGGTGTAGTTTGCCATTTAGAGCTCACAGACTGTCCCACCTTAAGGAGTTCATGATCTTAGAGAATAACAGCCACTCAGAGCCACCTAGGATCAGATGAGGAAGAGAATCCCAGGGCGAAACCAAGTGGTAGACAGCAGAGGGCGGGAGAAGGGATGTGCAATGGCCGCTGCTGGCTCGGGCAGGCCCTGGCACCTTGGATGCCCCTGGTTGATTTGGGAGAGAGCCTTGCTGAGGCATGGGGTGGGGAAGGCCAGAGCAGGGACTGTCCTCCGGTTCTCCCTGTGTTTCTCTTTTCATTGCTTTGGGACGAGCCAGAGGGGAAGTCAGCTTCTGCTTCATGCCTGCACTGGGTGGGAGGTGCTGGATTCAGAGCCGGCTTTGGGAGGCCCTGCACCCCTGTGGCCTTCAGCTTTCCTTGCCACAGCCAGGGTGGTGTGCCCTCCAGCTTTTCTGTCACCTGGACTTAGGACCAGTAAATTTATATCTATGAGGTGCCTTTGGTTTTGCCTTTTATATTCTTTTTCTTGCTTATCAGTTATACTGGATATCATCCAGGCAGCACTGGAAGATTAAATAGTCTGGAACTTAGTGTCAAAGGATATCGGAGATCAACTTTCAGTCTAGGGTTTGGCTTATCTGGCTCTGCTCACAAGTTCCCACGCATTTTACCAGGGACCATTAATAGTCCTCAGAAGACTTTCTTTCCATCAGGCTGATTTTCAGGTGGTGTTGCTCTGCTCCAGTTCATGTTACCAACATTTCTTTCTATATAGCACAGGGCCATGGCGCCAAAGGAGACAATGTCTATGAATTTCACTTGGAGTTCTTAGATCTCGTGAAGCCAGAGGTATGCTCCTTTCTATCTCACTTTCTCTTCTGTTAAGGAAACAAATCCCAGTAGCTAGCGAGGTGAGGAGCTGACATCGTGGGGAGAATCGTGGGGAGAAGATGACAAGCAAAGGGGAATGAACAGTATGGTTTTTATAGGGAACAGAGCCCCAGGCTTAGCTGCAAGGCCCAGAGGAGTAGGAGAGTTAGAGAAGTTGAGTTGAATCCAGGCTTCAAAGGCCTGTTAGCAACGTGAACCTGAGTGAATTACTTCTTGGAGTTCTGTGTTTCTCTCTGTTGAATGATGTGACCCCAGGGTCCCTTGCAGCTCTGTCCTTTGATCTCAGTGATGGCAGGGGAGAGTGGCGCCCACTGAGAGCAGAGTTGCTGGGTGCTTGAAGCCCACTTGGGGGTTGCATTCGTGTTGTTTTGCTACAGGGCAGGGAGAAGACAGGCAGCAGATGGGGCTCAGGCAGCTGGGCTTTAGGAAGAGGGGTGGGATATAATTGACGTTCCCCCTGAGAACCTGGGGAAGCTCCTTTAACAGAAGGGAAGCAAACTGTGGATGGCGCACTGCAGTTTCTTAGCTCCAGGGGTGAGAGTTCACTGACCTTGTGCAGTTCCCTGTTTGGAGAACATTTATCAGTGCCAGCAAAAAGGGCAGAGAACCTGTCATGAGGCTTGGCTTGGCGACAGAGGGAGGTGCCAAAGAGAAACAAAGAGCTGAAGGAACATTGGAGAAAGATCCCGCTGTTTTTCTGGGCCTTCTCCATGCCAGCTCTTGGTCTGGATACTGTGTGTGTGTCGGGCATGCAGGGCTGGAGGGGGAAGGGCGTGAGTGAACTATGCCACCGTGCACGGGGACTTGGTAGGGTGTGGGAGGCTGGCTCACTTTCTCACCTTCTCTCCTAGCCGGTTTATAAACTGACCCAGAGGCAGGTAAACATTACGGTGCAGAAGAAGGTGAGTCACTGGTGGGAACGACTCACCAAGCAGGAGAAGCGCCCACTGTTCCTGGCCCCTGACTTTGATCGCTGGCTGGATGAATCTGACGCAGAAATGGAGCTCAGAGCCAAGGTTAGCACGGCTACTGGAGACAGAGATCTTGAGGACCCCAGATTACTTGAGGCTCCTCTCACTTTGGGATAGGATAGCAACAGAGTGACAGATTGATTTAAAGGCCCCACAACATAATTGTAGAGAAGTACTCATGTGAATTTTATCTCAGTTGGAATTTGCTGGATTCTTTTTTATGACAGAGGGAAGGGTAATGGGTTTTGGGGAAGAGACCTCAGAGGTGAAGCACTCTTCTTACCGAATCCTGCCAAGGTGCATTCAGTTTACACGACATACTGCTGTGGAGATCCGGCTGAGGTTAGCTGGCTGAAGTGATATGTGTTACGCCTCTCCCCCACCCCTCACCTGTTCTTACTGTACTCTTGAGAAGGAAGTCACTCTACATAGAGGAGCAGGAGGTCCGGTGTCCACTTGTTTATTTAGGTCATGAATGTTTATTTTACACTCTGAGTTATAATCTTTCTTGTTCCAGTTTTGGTCATTGAGAACCCTTTCACTTGGTTTTGGTCTTTTTGTAAAAAGGTCCATTATTACAGGGCATTGATTGATTGATTGATTGATTGATTGATTGGTTGACACAGGGTTTTTGCCTTGTGGTTTAGGCTGGGCTTGAACTCACTAGGTAACTCAGGCTGTCCTTGAATTAGGGGCAGTCTTCCTGCCTCAGCCTCCCTGGTGTTGGATTATAGGCATGTACTACCACGCCTGACCCTTTTTTATTTTTTAAAGCTCTTCGTTTCTGGCACTACCATATATAAACTGCCCTGGGCATATCTCATGTATCTCTTGCTATAACCCTAAAATAGCCATTTCTCCAAGGAGCTCTTTTTTTTTTTTTTAATTGAGTAGTGTTTTGTATTCTTACAAATGTTTCTATATATGTCCATCTGTATCTATCTTAAGCTAAATATAAGTTCATACTTATGTTGGATATAATCTTAGCTTCTGGAGACATACCAAAAAAATCTAGAAGTCTTAAAAAATAAAACAGCCATCTGCTTCCTGCCTTCAGCTTCTCCCTTGTTTCTGTGGCTGTGACGAATCTTGTGGATTTGCTAGCTCTGAGATTCCAAGGTTGCCTTCTTGGAAGCAGGCAGTTTGGAAGGCAGCTGAGTGGTTTCGGGGTGTGCATCCAGCAAAGAAGAGTGAAGCTGTTTAATACGATAAGCCAGGGTGTTTTCTCAGTGGGTAGGGTAGTTTCCAGGGAGTCAGAGAGTTGACCCAACACATGGGCTTTTGCCGGCATGGGGATTCTAATGGGAAATTTGTCTAATTCCAGGAAGAAGAGCGTCTGAATAAACTACGGCTAGAAAGTCAAGGCTCCCCTGAAAGTAAGTTGCCACTGCTGCTGAGGGATTACTGGTATGTGATAGAGGCGGGGTGTGATGCATGTGTGTGGCAGTCCACGAGAAATCGTTTATTGTCCACTCCTTAAGGTACATGGAAAGCTGTGTTTTTTTAAAATTGTTACCAGGGATCGAACTCATGACCTCGAGCTTGCAGGGCAGGTGCTGATGTTGCTGAGCTAAATCCCCAGCAGAAAGCTGTATCTTTAATGTTTCCTTTTAGTTTGAGACCCGATGTTACCTGGGCACACTTGGGTAGGGGCAGCAGCATATCCACAAGCACCTGACTCTTCTGGCCTTGCCTCCTGGCCAGCGCTAGCCCAGCCCTGCACAGGCTGTGGCAGGGCCAGAGGCTGTACCCTTCAGCCCAGGGCTCCCTCACACCTGAGGTCCGGGAGCCTGTGCCGGAGATAGGTGTGGTCGTCAGACGCCCAGGTAGACGGTGTTCTGTAGAGTCCTGCTATTTGTTAACCTTTTAGAAACCCAGCTGTGTTTCTCTCTGGCCAGCCACTTCTGGGCAGAAGCTCAGTGAGTGAGTTTATTACCTTCTGCGTGGCCTAGCGAGAAGAAATCGGGCGCTGTCTTTGAGTGCGTGCTGCATGTGGAACACTGCGGCAGCTCCTGGGCAGAGCCAGCTGAGGCCTCCCAGGACCGCTGGTAGTCCACAGCACAGGGAGGACCACTCAGGTCTGTGAACCGCTGACCCTGATGAGCAGAGTGAGATGGGCTCTCTTGGGTCCTGAGGTGAGCTTAGCTCCCAAGTTCTGTTAGCACATGTTTGGCTGATACGCCATAAGGAAGGAAGGAGAGAGTTTTAGAGGGATAGTTTTCAAACCTCGGTGGTACCCAGGGATTGGTGGGGCGGGGGTGGGGGGGAGAAGGTCACACCCATAGACTGCTCTGCAGTCAGGGCAGCTGTGTTGAGTATTGTATGTACTGAGGTTCCAAGTAAGTTTGTTTTCAAAGAGTATTTTTAAATATCTTTTTCCTGTAGCCACTAATTTAGAGAAATATTCTTTTAGAAAAGCAGAAGGGAGATTACTGCAAATAGAGATTAACAACATGAAAAGGCCATCTAGAGACTTAATTTTTTTTTTTTGTCTTTTTCTTTTTTTATCGGTACCGGGGATCGAACTCACGACTTTCTGCTTGCAAGGCAGGTGCTTATGCCACTGAGCTAAATCCCCAGCCCCGAGACTTAATTATTTTAAATCAATGTTTTAAAGGAATAAACTTTAGAAATTTCTTACATACTTTAGAAATTCTTACATATAGCTGTTTGGGACAGTAGAGAAAGCTTTGGTCATGTTACTAAAATTCATAAAGTTTCTTTCTTTCTTTTTTTTGGTTTTTGAGACAGAGTCTTGCCATGTAGTACAGACCAGCCTTGAACTCATTGTGTAGCTCAGTCTGGCCTTGATGCTAGGATTACAGGTGTATGCCACAGGGCTCAGAAAGTGTCTTTTTTTTTTTGGTCTTTATCCTTTTTTTTTTTTTTTTAAAGCCAGTCAAATTTAGCAGTGGGGGGGGTGGTATATCAACTTTAGTCGGTACCGGGGATCGAACTCACGACTGTCTGCTTGCAAGGCAGGCACTTATGCCGCTGAGCTAAATCCCCAGCCCCCCAGAAAGTGTCTTGATGAAAGAACTTTTCCCTGATGAGAACACATACATTTTTGTAACTCGGAAGAAAAAAAAAATTAGTTAAACGTTGCTGAAATGACACTTGAGGCCCAGGCTGTCCCCGATTACGCGCACTGCCCATGGCAGGGATGTCAGCACTAGCCGGGTGCCCGTCCGGTCTGTCTGTGGGCAGAACAGGTGTGCACCGCCGAGACCAGAGGCACCTTGGCTCTGCCCTTGTCATCTGCCCTTTCCTCCCCCCTCCACTGGTCCTGCTGGCCCTCTAAGCTCCTTACTTCTTTCTTAACTCCGTAATTGGCTGACCGTTGGTGAACCCTGGCTGCAGACAGAATCTGCACCCTTAGTTTGCTGCCTGGTAGATGGACAGTGTCCTTCCATGGTTCTGTCCTCATCCTGCTTTCCTATTGGGGCTGGGTCGGAGGCCATCATGCCCACACAGGCCTGTCTGTCCCTGGCCTCACGTCAGGTATTTTTACCTTGACAGTCTCGCACGCTGGTGCTCATCCCCTGTGGCTGTAACGTGGCTGTCGGGATGGTCTCCTGCAGGGTAGCAGCGTGTTCTCTGTGACCGTGCCCTCCCAGGACCTGGCACATGGCAGGTGTTCTGAATGATCAAGGTTGGATATACCGTATGACCTAATAGCAGGGTTATTGTCTTTCACTCACCATTTCTGCGTCTTTGAGCTGGTTTACCCTGGACCCTAAAGAAATCCAGCACATAAGAAGCTATAGATCCCATGAAGAGATAGCCAGCGGGGGAGCACAGAGCTCACGCCCTGGAGACCCAGGGTGGTTCTGCCATGCTGTTCTCCCGGTCTGGCAAGTCCGTATTCTTACCTCTCAGGCCGTGGGAGAGACCAGTGACATCATGAGGAGAAGCAGCACTCCTCATAGGTTTTCTCACACGTGTGCGAGTAGGCACGCAGGCCTGGGAGGCCCAGTCAGATGCCTGGTGGGGTCTCTGGGGCGCAGGGACAGAGGGCAGCAGGCGGGCAGGTCTGCCCCAGTGCGCCCCTTCTGCAGGACTGCGGGCTTAACAGCCTCCTGCCTTGTTTGCTTTCCAGCGCTGACAAGCTTGAAGAAAGGCTACCTGTTCATGTACAATTTTGTGCAGTTCTTGGGATTCTCCTGGATCTTTGTGAACCTGACGGTGCGGTTCTTTCTCTTGGGAAAAGGCAAGTACGGAACTCGGGGGCTGGTTGGCCGTCTATTCTCCCAAAATTGTGCTCTCTGCCTTCCAAGTCAGTAGCACTCCATGTTGGTGTTGCTGGCCTGGCTCTCAGAGTGCCTGTCCTGGCTCTTAGTCCTGCCACCTTTTGAAGCAGCCTGGCCAGACAGCAAGTGAGAAAATGGGCCTAGACTTTTCACTTCTGCAAATACATTCTGAGGAAATAATCACAACACACTGTGACATTATTAATGTGTTTTATAATTATAAAAAAGTGATAATTACAGAAAAATCAGAAGGGCACTTTGAAAACTTTTCTATTTATAGAAGTGATATCCTTATTTAAGGAAGTGTCGAGGAGGGCATATGGGGAGAAGTGGACAAGCCTTTGTCCCATTACTGTTAATATCTCCACACACTTTCTTCCGGTCTTTTTCCTCTTGCAGGTAAGTATCATGCATATACAGTTATGCATCTTATTCTTAAATGTACCAACTTGAAGCATTTTTTTTTTTTTTTGGTCTTTTTTCCTTTTTATTGGTACCGGGGATCGAACTCACGACCGCCTGCTTGCAAGGCAGGTGCTTATGCCGCTGAGCTAAATCCCCAGGCCCCACTTTAAGCATTTTTAATGTTATTAACACCCTTTATTATTTTAGAAACTGGATATATATAGTCTTTAATTGAAACGAGGATGAATTTCCCATAAAGTCAGAGACAGAGGACAAGATCTTATTTACCATGTGCCAAGTTTTAGGTCACAGTTTCTATGTCAAAGTTTGAGACCTGGGTATGGTAGTGCACGCCTGTAATACCAGCACTTGGGAAGCTGAGGCAGGAGGATTGCTGTGAATTTGAGGCCAGCCTGACTACACAGTGAGACTCAAAAAAACCCCAAAACAACCAAATATGAGAGATCCTCATTTTTCTAAGACTGGTTGAGGAAACTGCCACTTAAAGTGAACCTCTTTTGAAAGATAACCAACATTTCTCTGTAAATAGCAAAAGGTTTTCATTGGGATAATGCGTTGAAAAGTCAGATTTAAAATTAAGAAAACAAAATTATCTTACATATTGCAAAGTTTTAAGTTGTAACCTTTATATTGATTCCTTGAAGAAAAGAATTAGTCAAGCAGCAGCATATACTTTGCTTGATTTTACATTGGATTTTTTTTTTTTTTTTTTTTTTGGTACCGGGGATTGAACTCATGACTGCGTGCTTGCAAGACAGGCACTTATGCTGCTAAGCTAAATCCCCAGCCTAATTGGATAATTTTTGGAAAAATAGTAATAAGTTTCTTCTTTTATTCATTTGTCATTTCAACTGTTTTCTTGTGGGGCTCCTACAGGGACATTTTGGTCGGTACCTGCCCTAACTCTGCCAGAGCCTCAGTCTTCAGTGTCTTTCTGTGCAGCTGAGAAGTTCCCTGTCACTAATGTCGTTCACTGTGGGAGTACCCTACTGCTTCAAAGATTTGCTAGGAATTGCTGGGCAAGAATGTCGGACCAAGACTTGGATTTGACCAATGGGCAAATCTTAAGTGGAAACAGATTTTGAATGAAGGCTAATTTTATAAATTATTGTTCCATTAGTAATAATTTTGCAGCTATAATTTCTGCCAGAGATTCTTAGTGCTAAAGATGTAGATTACAAATCCGTGAGTAATGATTCCCTTTTATTTGGGACGGCTTTGTCTCCTTCTGAAATGCCCTGGGGATATGGTTTGGGGACGTGTGTAGGCGGTCAAGCACTGCTCTAGGTTCACTCAGCAAGAAGCCAGGAATTCTGTTCCCTGACTTAATGTGCTAACTTTCTGCTCACCTAAGCTGCTCAGCACCAGCTTGGTTAGGCCAGGCACTTGAATAGGCCTGGAGGTGTGCTGCCTTCTCTAAAGTCCCTGGGTAAAGTGATTCTGTTGACACTGGTCAGCTGATTTACCCTTGTTGTGTGTTTGTGCCACAGAGTCCTTCTACGACACGTTTCACAGCGTGGCTGACATGATGTATTTCTGCCAGATGCTGGCAGCTGTAGAGACCATCAATGCAGCAGCTGGAGTCACCAGTTCACCGGTGATACCGTGTCTCCTGCAGGTAAGGAGTGGCTGAGCTCAGGGGTGGGGATGAAAGAGTTCAGGATTCATTTATTTGGTGTGTAAGAATTTGCTGGTCTGAGTTATAAAAATAGTTGTGTGCATGGGAATAGCACCGTTTTACTTGAACAGGAAGAAGAAATTTAAACTTGAGGGATATGTCACAACGTCGACTTTTCAGGCTTCTTTCATCTTTTATAACAACATCCTCATGAACTCACAAAATTATAAAATAAGCCTCAAATATAGGCAGGCGCAAGAAAAGCTCCCATCAATTTCTTTGGTTAGCAATGTTTTGTGTAGACAGAGGCAATCAAAAATCTAAGCAAAGTGTGGTCTGTAATCGTAGCACTTGGGAGGCTGAGGCAGGAGGATCACCTGAGTCAAGGCCAGCCTAGGCTGCTAGTGAGTTCAAGGCCAACCTAAACTGCATAGTGAAACCTGTCTCCCTGTCTCAAAAGCTTCCTAAAAGAAAAAAAAAGAAAATCTAGGGAACTCATGTCCTTTTGGACTTTGTTTCATGTATATGGTGGCTTTCTGACTCGGGAATGGGCCTCCCCTCTCTCCCCAAGTTGTATTATTTCTTGTGGTGACTCCTATCAGGACGGAGCAGCAGTCTTTCCCCTTCTTTGTGATCACATACCATGAAGCGCCGCTGCAGATGCAGGGGCACCAGGTGACTGCTGGTTAGTTACCAGCTGTTGGGTTCTAGTAGTATCAGTTGCAAGGTAGAAGGGCAACTTAATGCCTTATTATTTCTATTTCTATTTTAGTGCCCTTGGAAAGAGGCTACTTAGTTTGAAAAAATGGGGAGGGGGGTTGTAAGTGCTCTGCTAATATGTAATAATATACTTAATCTACCAAGGGTTAGTACAAGTAAGAAAGCAGATGTTTTAGGGCAAAATGGAAGGGACAGGCTCAGTCCCTTGACGTCACTTGGTGGGGTGGGGAGTCCTGCAGGCAGAACATAGTGGCCAGGAGCTGAACTGGCCCGAGGCTATGTCCCCAGTGCTCGAGGCAGGAGCAGTGGGGCATGCCAGTTCCTGCCTCAGGGGAGGATACATAGAAGATGGTGTATAGGACAGGAGCTCAGGAAACTAGAGGGAACGCTTCCTTTGTTGTCTCTTGAGGGAAGATCAGAGGCCAAGTATCTAGCCACAGAGGTCTGGTGGAAATACATTCTGTTATAAAGTAATTGAGGAGTAATAAAGACTATTTACTTGACTTGTGAAAAAGGGTAAAGGAGCCCTTTCCAGGACATACATGGGCAGATGAGGTGTCCTGGGGAGCTCTGGTGCCGAAAATGCTAGAGGCAGGAAAGGCGTGTCTGCCGCACCACCTTACAGCCTGAAGGAACACAGTCCTTTCTAATGTGGGTCCTGCTGGAAGAGGGGGAAATATTCTTTTAAGATTTGTGGTGTAAATTCACCACTCCTTGGTGTTTAAAAAATTCTCTGGTTACAACTCTTTATTTAATAAAAGTGAATCTGGCCAGGGGCGGTGGCCTGTAATCCTGACACTCAGGAGACAGAGGCAGGAGGATTGCTGGGAGCTGCATATCAAGAACCTGTCTCCGTGATCATTAACTGTTACTGCCCTCAGACCCTGAAAAGTTAAATACAAGTCTTTTCTGTAAGAAATGCCTTTGCCCAACTTTGAGAGAACTCTCAGGGTTGTTTCCAAAGAAAGTGAGAGGCTTGCATCCAGAGATTGTCAAGGCAAACAAAACAAGCAGAAAACAAGGCACTGTGGCAGGAACCAGGTGGCACAACCAGTGCGCGTGGACTGACTGACACACGGCACCAGCTGGTTACTGACATTCTCAGAGGGCCGTGCTCACTGATCTGGGTGAGGCAAGCACACAGCGCATTCTCTGAATTGCATCTGAAGCTATGTGTGTGTTTTAATACGCTGCTTGGGGTATATACACCAGTGTCCTGTCTGTGGAGAAAGGCTGGTTTGGATACTTTCACCAAAACTGGAGCAGTATTCAGCTACTTTAGCTTTGTCTTTTCCATTTAACTTGTACTTAGTGGGGTTGCATTTTAGATAACACATTTATATGATATGCGTATATATATGTGCATAGATACATCACATATGTACAAGGAATGATCAGAAAATAAAATGAATGTGAAGAATTTTTATTACAGTAAAAGACACATTGCCATTAATCCACATCAAAACACTTCCCTTCACCTTGAACGCTCATCACCTTGTTCTTGCCACTGTCTGAAGCAGTTCTAGAAGTGTCTTTATGAGATACGGTCAAAAATACAGTGAATGTTGCTGCCAAATGTCACCCAGTAGAAAGTCAGGCTAGTAGAGACACGTGTGTCCATGGCCACCGTATTCACTGGGTTGGGTACCGTGCAGCTTCCCTTCCCCACATCACAGTAGTAAGCGTTTTGAATTAATTCAGGACACTGAGGCAGCCCTAACTGCACAGCTAAAGACACTCGCAAAAGAGAACTTCCAGGACTGCGTCAGAAAGTGGTAAGAGTGACAGGAAGAGTGTGGGAAGCAGGGGGAGGGCCTCGAGGGGATGAACGACAGTGTGTCTTTTACAGTAATAACTTTAAAACAGTTATTAATATCTCAGTTATACCTTATATATATTTTAACTTTTTTTTCTTCTGGGTCTTTTTAATAGCTTCTTGGAAGAAATTTCATCCTGTTTATCATCTTCGGCACCATGGAAGAAATGCAAAACAAGGCTGTGGTTTTCTTCGTGTTTTACTTGTGGAGCACAATCGAGATTGTCAGGTGGGGAGACACTAGGCTGTTGGAACGCTTGTACCTCTCAGGAGCAGCTTTCTCCTTGAGGGAGTGGCTCTCTTGGCTGCAGCCTCATTTGGTTTGGCATTCAGATCGTATGTGTGCAGAATTCTGGCTTCACCAGTGTGCCTTGCAAAAGCTGAGGCAAATTGTTTTTAAGGCAGCAACTGAGTCAGGATAGCAGCCTGCGGACTAGGGAGCAGAGTGCAGCAGACAAACAAAGAGCCGGCTTTTTCCTTCAGGATCTTGCTTTTGTGTTGCAAAGCCCTAAAGGGCCCTTCCATGAGGACAGTGCTGGAGGCCTGGCCTAGCGCACGGTGGGAGGGCAGTGCAGGCTGGATGAACCAGTCAGGGTGGCCCTCTAGCGGAGATGATAGAGGCGACTCTCGCCACGAGATGTCCGAGGTCTGGGGTTGGCTTTCTATTTTCTGTTCTCAGTTCCTTTGGAAGAAAGGCTGTTAGAAGAAAGTGATTCAGTTTAAGCGGTGCTCTCTGCACAGACTCCTCACATCCCTTCCTTCTTCCTTTCTCATTCAAGTGGAGCGGAGACTGCAGGTTGGCCTCCCGGCTCTTGGTGTATTTGCTGGTCTTCTGACAGATCCTGGCTCGAGGGAGCAGCAGTAGCAGCCTGAGTCGTGTCTTCACTGTGCTCTGTATGCCAGGGCGCCGCTGTCCCTCTGACATGCTGCACGCAGAGATAATCAGATATGGGTGCTCACTGTGAACCTCACTGTTTGGGAACAAACAGGTTTATTACGATACAGTATGTCTGACCCTAGATCAGAAGCCTTTTAGGGATTTGAGTTGGGATGACATTCATCTGCCATCTTCACCCATGGGACACAGGTCAGGGCTAGGAATAAAGCCAGTGATGTGGTCGAGATCCAGCACATGTGCTGGGCGGAGAGCTTTCTGTGAGACCTCGGCTTGGGCCCTTGGGGGACAGCCCGCCCAGGGCTGTCCTCTTCCGAAGCTGCATGTTGCGAATGAGAACGGATGTCTGTGTCCCTGACTGCCAGTCCAGGCTGCGCTCAGAACCTGCGGCCTCGCTCCCTCAGGTATCCCTTCTACATGCTGTCCTGCATCGACATGGACTGGAAGGTACTCACGTGGCTGCGTTACACCCTGTGGATTCCTCTGTACCCCCTGGGATGCTTGGCAGAAGGTATTTTCGGGAACCCCAGGTCTCAGAGCCTTCCTCTGAGGACCCGCTGCCTGCACGGCCAGTCTCCCTCTTGCTCTGCCGGCCGAGGTCCAGTAGCTGGGTGCTAGACTCCTGTTGGACTGCTTTCTCGGGGCACCTCCCTTAGTGCTCCTGTCGCCGCAGTACAGGGACGGCTGCTCGCTGTGTAATGCTCAGGAGCTGCTGGGCGGTCCTGCATGCAGCTTCCTAAATGACCTCATTTTATGCTGACACCTAGTGAATGCGTTGGTAGGGAATTTGCTCTAGTTTGGAGGGCGACAGGGCGTCCTCCTACCTCTTCCTGTTGGAGGCTCTGAGGCCTCCAGGGAGTAGAAAGCATGGGAGCTTTGTGCACAAAGGGAGGAGGAGCGTGTCCAGCAGCCCAGGCTGAGGTCGCGGCCGGGCGCTGGCCAGCCTGTCGCCACACGTGCTGCTTCCATTTGCCCCTCACAAGCTCTTCTCTCCGTTTCAGCTATCTCGGTGATCCAGTCCATTCCAGTATTCAATGAAACCGGAAGATTCAGTTTTACATTGCCATATCCAATGAAAATCAAAGTTAGATTTTCCTTTTTTCTTCAGATTTATCTTATAATGTCATTTTTAGGTAAGTATTGGCTTAGTGGTAGTTTTTTTCTTGTCACCTTTTTTTTTTTTTTTTTGTATTGAGATTGAACTGCTCGTCTCTTATCAAAGTTAGACTTATCTGTGTAGATATGTGTGTGGCACATGCCTGTAATCCCCATTACTTGGGAGGCTGTGGCAGGAGGATTGTTGTGAATTCAAGGTCAACCAGTATTATGTAGTGTGTTTAAGGCCAGCCTATGACAACATAGTGAAACTTTGTCTCAAAAACCAAATGAAACCAAACAGTCCTCCCAAAACAACAAATAAACCCAGGTCTTTTTCTAAAAGAGTTAACACCAGCAGAGAAAATTTACCTTGTAAAAACAAATCCAGTAGGAGAGAGAATATCTTCCTAAGAATGCATCGGTTGAATATCATGTTCTTGAAGTGTTCTTGGTAACTGGGAATACACTGAAAGATACATCCAGTTCCTGGAACTGAGGATTCAACTGAGCGCCACTGCACTAAATTATATTTCCTTAGTCTTTTGGAGACAGGTTTCACTATACAATTCAGGCTGGTCTTCAACTTGCAGCAGTTCTCCTGCCTCAGCCTCCAGAGTGCTGGAATTATGGGCGTTTACCACCACAGCCAGTCCCATCCATCCATCCATCCATCCATCCATCCATTCATCCATCCATTCATTCATTCATTCATGAGACACGGCCTTGCAGAGTTGCCCAGGCGGAGTTGGAATTTGTAGTTTTACTGCCTCAGCCTACCATAAGACATTTTTGCTAAAAACAGTGTAAAGAGCTCTTTTAAAATGAAGTAGGAGCCCAGCATGGTGGGAGACACCTGTCTTATCAGCTCATTGGGAAACTGAGACTGGATCATTCGAATTCAGGCATTTGAGGCTAGTCTGGGCAACACAGCAAGACCTCATCTCATAATTTAAAAACTTAAAAGAAAATACAGTAGAGGAGAGGTCCTTAACTGGTCAGTAGCACATTCCTCGCCCAGCTGTTAAGAGAGGTAGCAGGCAGCGCAGTGGAGCAAGGAGCCCAAGGCTGTCGCGAAGCTTCCAGGTAGCGGTAGGAAGATGCCCTGTTGGTCACTCACGACCTGCTCATTAGTTTACGTTTATAAATACAAAGTCTTACCTCATTTCATAAAAACTAAGAGCTAAAAGGAAAAAGAAGTAAACCTAAATGTTGCCAATGTGAGAGAGTAAAGGAGGGTAGGGAGCCTTGGGACTCTCGGGCAAGCCACCTCGGGTGGAGGGAGGCCTGGTGCTTGGGGGCCTCGGTGAGGGAGAGGGACCGAAGCTTGAGGAGCTCCGCGGGGTTACTAACATGTATGACAAGCTGGTCACTTGCAGAGGCTTAACTTTACTTCTTGTTTTGTATTTCAGCATAGGGAATAACCTACTTCAAAGAGATTTCTAACCCAGAATGTTTCAGACTTTGAGGGGAGTAAGCTAAAAGAGCTGCTTGCCTGGTAACTAGGCTCCATGCACGGGCATAATGAAAGTACTGAAATGGAATAAGCACTGGAAGGACACTTAAAATATTTTACTACAAAGTCAGAGGGGTAGAAATACTTTAATACGCTCAGATTAGTATCTTTTCTTTGTATTGTGCATCTTAACTGGCAAGCTTCTGTGTATGGTTTGCCTGTTGTGGGTAAAGGAGGAAAGTTTATTTAGCAGTTTGTAGAGTCCACAATGGGCTGGCCCCTAGGAAGGATGGCATGGCAGAGGGGTATCGTAGAGGAGGTAGTTTATGGCGTGCAGAAGGTAGCAAAGCAAGCAAGGGACAGGACAAGCTTCTTTCAGTCTCTATATTATATCCAGGCTACCAGGATTAGGGCAGTGCCGAATCAATCAGTGGACTGATTTAGTAATCACACACCTTCAATCCTAGCATCATACACTGTAGATCCAGCAACCCCAAAAAGCCCCAACTCTGACCCATGAGGCTTTGAGAAAAGCATCTAGACACAAGCCATAACAAATAAATACTTGTTTTCTTACTCTGCAAAATCAGTGAAGTCCTAAATTCACACTTGTGACTCTGAGGCAGTATGCCAGCCAGTCAGTGTTTCTATTTACATCGAAGTACCTGTGTACCTACATTTAGGCTTTCACAGTAAGCTTGTAGATAAATGTTTCTGACACTCATGAAAAGAGGAGGCGCAGAACCTTCTCAGAACTTACCCTGGTCCAGCACAGTTGAAATTTCTGACCCTGAAATCCTAATTCACTGACTTGGACTTGCTGCAAGAGTGTCTCACACCTTTATCTGTTTGGGTTTTGAAATGGGGTCTTGCTGGCAGGCAAGTTTTGAACTCCTGACCATTAGTGATCCCCTTGCCTCAGCCGGTCAAATAGCTGGGATCACGTTTTACGGCTGGCTCATGTCATCCCTCTCAGACTTGTTTTTGAGGGAGCCCTGAGGGAAGACTTAGGTTATTTCTGCAACTTCAGATTTGTGCATTTCTTTGGAAGCCCAAGGGGAAGGAAGACCAACAGTCCCACACTGTACTGCGTGCAGGGGTGAAGGGTCTGCCTGTCCTTGTGAATGCCTCACAGCAAGATGGACAGTCAGACAGACAGCGACAGGGATGTGATGAAGGAAAGAAGCACAAATGCAGATGGTTTTTGCTAATCAAAGACTTTGTTTGAAATTTTCATGATAAAATTGGGACAGAACTAAGTTACAGTCCCCCGGGGAGGACACTGTCTCCGTTGTGTATTGCCGACTGGTCCTGAATTATGCTTCCTGCGGCCCTGCAGCGAACAGCATGTGGGGCATCAGCAGTGTCTGCCCCCTTGCCTGCAGAGGCCTCTGGCTATGGCACACAAAGACTGTCTTTTCTAACCCACCTCTTTTCTTTTTCAGGGTTATATATAAATTTTCGTCATCTTTATAAACAGCGCAGGCGACGATACGGACAAAAAAAGAAGAAGCTCCACTAATGAGAGGTTTAGAAGGCTTCTGACCGTCTGAGCCTAACCTGTGATTCTTAAAATTTTACCTTCTTGTACTGATGTAAACTTTTTAAAAAGTTAAACAGTTAAATTCGCAGTGAGGCTATCTCCCCTCCGCAGTCCATTCCCGACCTGCTGTGTTGCCTTAGCGTAGTCCTTGCATGATGTGGACTCCAATGCCTGGCCACAGGCCTGTTCCCGGTGTGCAGCGGTGACAGCAGGCTCTGCCCAGCTGCTCCGTCGTCCTCAGGTAGGAGCGCTCACCGCTGGGATGTGTGCTTTCTCCCTATCGTAGTGAAAAAACGCAGACTGTATCGCTCTCTAGAACACTGCTGAAGTGACTCTGGCACTGTCCGCAAAGGGGTGCTTGCGTAGCGGGGGAGGGCCTTTGTGAAAGTCAGTGTGGCTGGTCTTTGGGGAGTCTGGGTCACAGTGGGGCTGGAGTGCAGCTCTGCACCTGACTTCTACATCCGTAGTACGGTGGCGCTTACCCGTGTGGGCGCCGAAAGGCACAGGCGATTTACTCTAACGCAAGCAGAGCCTTGGGACACCATGATCACTTCACGGCTAGGGAGAGCGGGACCATTCTCAAGTCCAAAGAAAGGACTTAGAAATATTAGTTCCACACACAGGTGGGGCTCAGGAAAGAACACAAACATGTTGGCCAAACTGACACAGCCAGACCTGCCCAGAAGATGGCCTGTGGCACGCTGGGAAGTGAACACAGACCAGGCTGGAGCGGGCCCTGCCTAAGTACCTCAGAGCCGGGCACAGACCCAGACAGCCCTCATTCCCTTGTGCCGGCTGAGTCTGATTCCTGCCTATTTCTCTGAGAGACCGTGGGGGAGGCTATGCATTTTTAAACCTCAAAAATGTGTTTTTTTGTGCTGTTGTTGGATTGGCTTTTTTAACCTTGTGTGCAGGACCCTGAAAACAGCAGGAATTTTGGCTGGGAAATGACCTGCTGGTCCTTTACCAGGGACTCCTGGTAGGAAACCCACAAGGGGGAACTGAGGAACCGTGTTGAGCCGTGATGGCTGGCCACTGTAAAAACACATCAGTTTCCCCCAGTACATTCCACGTAAAGCAGCCGAAATAAGTGTTAGAAGTGACACTTGCGTTAAAAGAATTTAAGGCATAGTCATGCTTTCTGTTCCGCCAGCCCCAGTGTTCCTGTAGAGAGATTGATCAGCTTTAACCTAGTTTCTGATTAGCAGAAACTGACTGGTGTTTTCAAACCTCATTGCACTGAAGGGCATTGCGCATGTCTGTAACTTCTGCTGACACCTGTTTGTACTGACTTCTGTAACCAGGCAGCTCAGCTTTGCAGTAAGTGCTGCTGCGTTCTTGTCCTTGGGCAAAGCCCTGTATCTTAATGATTGTTAAGAGCCCCTCTATTTCTGTCTGAGGAAGACTGTGTATTTATATTAAAACATTTGCAATCAAAATCTTAAGAACTTGTGCTTCAGAATTATTTAACGGTTTTGGGATTTGTTTAGGCAACAGTATCATTTAGTAGTGCAGCACAAGAAACCATAAACAGTTGTTCTGGCTGTGGCCTGAGGGAATTCTTCCGAAGTCACCGAGTGGCTGGAGCAGCTTTGCGGATGCAGGTAAAATGTACGGAACTGCCTGCAGCATGTGCAAGGGCAGGAAGCCAGCAGATGCCTTGCAACCTGGCTGACTCTGAGGAGGGGTCTGCAGGACCTGCTGGCCAGAAGCTGGCATAGGCAGCGCAGCCTAAACAGAATCAGACAGAGGTCAGTATGGACCCTCGAAGAACTAGGTCTATGAATCTGTTCCACTATGTTCAAGTGACAGAACACACAAGGGACAAAGGGCCATTAGTTCTCAGTGAAAGTATCACAGAAAATCTATTTTACTTTCATTAAAAAAACAGGACTCATTTTACATATGTGGTTGTTTAGAAGTTTGTACTCAAGGTACACCAAAAGCACCCAAGCATCACTATCACATTTTACCAAGTTCTAAGCACAATTCTGGAACTCAGTGGCAGTCGTTCTGTCCTTAGCAAGTCCCAAGCAACCTAGGCTGCCTCTCCAAAGAGGCCTGAAAAGGTCCTTCTGGCTAAGCACAACCTGGAGAGGGGGTCCTTCCAGGACGTTTCCTGAGGAGGAAGAAGGCGGGAGCTCTGCTCAGCCTCCACTTCTAAGATGGGTCCCTCACTCGAGTAACAGCTTAGAGACACCAGGAGGCTGAGGTTCCAGCCAAGTGGCCAGTCTGCTTCGCACCCTGCAGCCAGCCCCTCACACTGGGGTAGTTATTCTGGCCTGTGAGGGCTATGTGTGAGGCCAGTTCAGAAGGCCCCGGGGTGGCGTGTCACAAGTGAGCGTGCTCAGCATCCTTCGCAGTTGAAATCATTCCCTGGCAGTTCACATTCTCTCCGCGCTGCTCCCAGAGAAGTCTGTGTGCAGAGGGATAATGTTATGGTCATATGCTGCGTACTCTGAGGTGCTGGTGCTGGCCAGCTTGAGCTGCTGGGCAGCGTGGGTGAGCTGGAAGGCGGCGTCGGGGTGTGCCGTGTCCGGCAGCAGTGTGCATTCCCGCTCCAGCATGTCGGCCACGCCCTTGAGCAGGTCTAGAAAGCCAAAGGCCAGGGCAGCCTTGCGCAGACGATTCAGCTCCTGAAACACAATGAAGACCAGCATTCCTGAGGTGTGCTCGCTTCCTTGCGTCCATTCTCTGACTCTCAGCTTTCAGGGAGTAGTTTTATATGAGACCAGTTCTGAGGCAGAAGAGCCAGCATGAAGACATAACTGATGTGTGCTTCCTCAGGACAAGTGGCCAGCGGCTAAGTGAGGAAGCTAGTGTGCTCGTCTACACAGCAGTGCACACATAAGGTGCTCATGCGTCCCCGTAATGTGCGGAGCTGGAAAGGCTTGCTCCAAATTCCAGCCGCTCCTTATGTTCCAGTGCCTCTGCAGTGTGGGCAGGTGATGAACGGCCATGAACATGTTTAGAGAAGGAAGGCCAGGCAGGAGGGAGCGCCACAAAGAAGGGACGGCAAGGGGATGGAAGTACAGAAACGGGACGTGTCCTGCCGGCCCCTGGTGACTGGATAAGCTGTGGAGCCTCTTGGTCTCAGAGGCCTTGTCACAAAGAACCACTCTCCCTGTCTGATGCAGGTACCGCAGCAATGAGGTACTAGAGGCCCTTTGCGGCTTTCCTGGAGGGTTATATAAAGCCAGGAAGGAGAAACAGGCTCTCGGCTACCCCTGTATCACCCAGGAAAGGTGGAAGGTTGAGAGGACAGCCACGGCACAGGTGTGCCACCACCAGGGCAACTAACAGCTGCCTGCAACACCTGCAGAGAGGGGCTGCAGCTGAGGCCTGGCTGGCGGGTTACAGTTTCAGGTAGGAGGGGCCTGGCCATCTTAGCAGCTCTGCTGAATTCTCAGTAAAGCAGTGCGTTCTGCTTGATTTCACCAGCCTGCTACATAATTGGGTTTGAAGACAACAGTGAGTCAAGGTAATGAGGTAACACATGAAGCAGCAGTGGGTGTTCTCCAGGGGAGATGCCAGCCCCAGCCCTGCTGTGAAGCCAGGACATTTCACACTGTTTCATCAAACTCCAGCCAAATGCCAGGACAGGAGGGAAAAGGCATGCATCTAAGTGTCTGTCACCCAGCCCTTGGGGCTGCAGTCTCCACCAGTGGCTCTGGATCGGGCAGGCACCACGGAAGGCCACCTGCTTCACAACTCACACATGTGAATCTGGAAGTTGTCCCAGAGGGCACTACTCTTGTGCAGTAGGATTGTTCCGGGAAACTCCTCGCCCTGCTCGGTCGCAGATATCACTTGTGTGGGCTGCACTGGTCCTCTGTGAGGGGGGTGCTCAGCTGGCGGCTCTACAGGCAGGCACCCCACTACTGTGCAGACCCAGGCCTTCCCAACACTGCCCCTTCTTGGACTGCAGACAGCTGTGGACCCATGGCTCACACCGACTCTCCCGATGAGGAACCCAGGCCTCAGCAGCATGGCGCTAACCCTCACGGTTTCCCTGCTCCCGGATGCTCTGCGCAGCCCTGTGCTCCCTCCCCTGTGGTTCCGCCCAGCTCACCTTATAGAAGGTCTGCGTTTTTTCAGGTAGTTTCCGTGCGTTTCTCAAAATTTTCTGTACATCTGTCTGTTAAGGGTAAAAGAATGAAAGAATCTGACATTAGAATTCTGTGGTGAAAAGCAAGGAAAGAACCCAAAGGTGGCTCTGAATACTTAAAGAAATGACAAAGTGAGCAGAGCTAGAGCTCAGGTGGGTGAAGGTGAAGCCCCTTCTGCGTTACAGCAGTGTCATGCTCAACACAAAGCTAAGTAATCCTGGCTGCTCTGGAGGCTGAGGCAGGAGGGTTATAAATTCAAGCCCAGCCTGGATAACAAATTTTAAAAGAGTTGGGCATATATCTCAGTGCGAGAGTGGCCTTGGGTTCAATCCCCAGTACTGAAAAAAACATACTTCCCGCCTTTAAAAAACTGGGTAATAAATCATCCTCACAAAAACATACCCAAGATGTCCATTAATCTACAGCTTGTTGCTTTTTTCCTAAGGCTGCCAAGACCATTCTATGGGGAAAGAACAGTCTTTTCAACAACTAGAGTTGGGATAAGTAGATAGCCATGTGCAAAAGGTGCTGGACCTTTAACTCAAATAATGTACAAAATGATACACCTAAATATAACATCTAATACCCTAAAACTTCTATAGGAAATGGAAGCGTAAATTCTTTATCACCTTGGATTTGGCAGTGATCTCTTAGTTAAGATATAAAAAAGCACAAGGAACAAAAGCAAAAAAAAAAAAAAAAAAAAAAAAAGAAAAAAGAAACATTTTACTCAGGCTAAACTAAAAAGAAAAAAAAAATTGAGACAGGATTTCTATGTAATTCAGACTGGGCTTGAACTCATTATGTAGCCCAGGATGCCTTGAACTTGCAGCAATCCTCCTGCCTCTCCCTCTTGAGTGTTAGGGTTACAGGTGCACACCACCATGCCCAGTTTGCTCAAAACTAAAAATTTAAAGCCAAGAGTGGAGGTGTACATCTGTGGCAGGAAGATGATAAATTCAAGGCCAATTTGGACAACAGTCTGAGACCCTGCCTCAAAAAATCCTAAAAACTGCTGTACATCAAAGAGCATGACCAGGAGTGTGGGAAGGGGGCTGGGGTGTAGCTCGGTATTACAGCACTTGCCTTGCATACATGAGACCCTGGGTTCAATCTGTAATACCACAGGAAAGAGAAAAAAAGTGAAAAGAAAACCCACAGCAGGGGAGAAAATCATTTTTCTCTAAAGGTCTGCTATTCTGAGTACATAAAGATTTCAACAAAAAGAAAACCCAATGAAAAAGGAGACACAGGAGTTGAGATAGATTTCTGTAGATACACAAATAGCCAAAAAGGACATGAAAAGATGGACCACCGCCCCTATTCCCCAATCAACCCCAGGGCCTTCTGCATGCTGGGCAAGCCTCTACTACTGAGCTACATCCCTGCCTGGAGAGTACCATGTTATTAGTCGTTAGGGAAGGAACCACAGATGACACTTTATACCCACTACTACTAAAAAAAAAAAAAAGAAAAAAAGAAAAACCGGTGAGAATGTGGAGAAACTGGAGCACTTACGTTTCTAGTGGGAACATAAAATGATATAGCCACTGTGAAAAAGTGCTGGGCGTGGTGGCACACACCTCTAATCGCAGCACTTGAGAGGCAGAGGTAGGAGGATGGTTGTGAGTCTGAGCTACATAGTGAGTTCAAGACCAGCCTGAATTTCATAGCAAGACCCTATCTCAAAAAACCAAGGAACCCTATGATCCAGCAACCCCAGGTCTTAGAATACACACAAAAAGTACTGTGTGGAGAACAAGTTATATATTGTATATCACTAGTATAAAAATTATATATCATTAGTAATAGTCAAAAGGTGGGAACAACCCTAAAGTTCGTCCTCTGAGCAAATGGCTAAAAAGCGTGGTAATTTACTCCACCACCAAAGAAGCGCAGCACTGACACACATGCAACATGAATGCTGCTCGGTGGAAGACGCCAAACCTTAAGGCAGAGTGCATGATTCCACATTTCTGAAGTACAGCGAACAGGCAAATCCACAGACAAAGAGGGTGCTGGCAGGGCCGGGGAGAGGGCAAGCCTGGGGAGCACCTGCTCCACGGCAGGGACAGGTTTTCCTCTGGAGCAGCCCGGAGTTAGAGCCACCGTGGGCTGAATGCCTAACACTGGGGAGCCACTGGACGTCCCTTAACTGCACATTTGAAAATGGCTGAAAAGATGCATTCAGAGTTATGTGTTTCACATCTGGGACCAAAGCAAAAGGTAGTACTTTAAGAAAAATTCAACCATAATCAGTGGTGGAAGTGAGTCTCGTCACCCTCCCGAGAAGTGCTGCACTCAGGGCTGGAGGGAGGAGGGAGATACCAACTTTCCCTCAGAGGCCTCTGGCCTTGGCCAGCACAAGGACGGCTCGGTCCTTCGGAGGGCTTGGAGTCACCGAGGGAGCGGAGGCCAGCTCACTCCAGCAGCCTGACTGCCTTTCACCCCGTGCCTGAGGCTGGACTCACTGGAGGATGAAATGTCACAAGAAGTGCTCAAAGGAGAAAAAGCTTTCCTAAGCAATTTTAAAAAACAGGCATAAGTGACGTTACATCAACGAAAGAGAAATGTCCCTGATACCTGCCAAAAAGAGCATTCCTCGATCAGTATTACCTCAGTCTCATGTGAGTGTGTTTCTGTGAATTACAGTGTAATGCTGTTGCTTGAGTTCTTAGGGATGAAAGAAATAACCAAATGGAAACTTTACATATTTTTCAAAACTGTTGTCAGAAAGAACAATGGTTACAGTGTTCAGTGCTTTACCATGTGACAGATTTTGCATTAAAATTCAATGCTAGGAAAATATACTTCTCCCAAAGAACTGGCCTGCTTCTGCTACCACCCAAGAAAGACTATGTAACCTGCAAGCTCCCAGCCTAACTTCTCAGATAAATTATCATCTTGCCCTGGCTTCCAGGTACAATTGGTTTCATTCTTTCTCTGGATCTCTTTCTGCTCTAAATGTGTAAGAAATGTTTCTGCTATGTACATGTTTCACTGTAGGCCATCTGGAAATCCTTTTTAGAAATAATGACAAAATTGGAAGTAAATAAATTCAAAGCATCAAAGGAAAGAAAAATCAAATCAAATGTCTATGTGCCCACCCACCCAAATGCTCCCTCTTGTCCTCAGTGGAAAAGAAAGCTAGGTAAATGGCAATGTTACCTGCAGGCCGCTGGGTTTGATCCAGACAGTCACATTCTGGGCATAACTGCGTTTGTTTTTGGGTTGCAGGGGAAATGGGCTCTTATTGTCATCCTCACCGTAAGGGTTTTCTTTAGCATCTTAAAGAAAAAGATATTCTTGAAATGACATCTGGCAAAACAGTCAATTGCATTTCTGACTAGGCGAGCAGCTCCTAATCAGATCACTCAACCTTCTACGTCCTCCTGCTTGGTTCATCAGGGAAATTCCACTAACTTCGATCAGGCTGGGGAACCTACTCCCAATAGAGGCCACTGCCGGAGGAGACCACACAGGGGACGGAAGTCTATACAAGTGAAAACAGCTTCATGTCTCTGAAGAAACAAGCTCCACTTATCTGTTTTATAAATTAAGGCTAGAGAGGATCAAATTTCCTCTGAGGCTGGAAATGTTCTACACCTGTGCTATCTAATATGGTAGCTGCTAGCTGTTAAACACTTGAAATAGAGAAATGAACTACACACTTTATTTAGGTTTAAATTTAAGTAGCTTCTGGTGGCCACTGGCAAGTGAGTTAGGCAGCAAAGGTGTAGGAATTAAAAAATTAAAAGGAAAAATTAGATATAATTAAGCAAAAGGGCAAGGAGAAATATTTTTCTCAGTGAAGAAGACTCAATCTTATGGCTTATTAGTTAACTACTTCCAAAAACTCAAAGCCTTGGTGCCGTCACATCGGTAACTAGGATTTCTGCCTTTAACGCACTCCAAGTACAGAAAACTGCCTTGAATCTGTGCAACACACTTATGCCTGATGGTTCCTTTCATCCTTATTATTCTCATCCCCACCAGTTAAGGGAGCTAAATCCACTGACCCAATGTTCACACAGAAAACTGGATGGACCCATTTCTCTAACTGAGGAAGATGTTTTCTGCCCCTTACTCGTCAAAAACCTTAACACTGACCTCCAACTACCACACTGCTAAGACAGCACAATACTGTACCAGACAACATGTAAGCCTTGTCAGTCTGCTGGGATCCTGTGAATCCTGGCACTCACGGCTGGCAGTTCCCAGCTGCCCCGTCACGATTTCTGTTCCTCCCTTACCTGGACTGCTCTATCGCATGCATCCACTCCTTATCCACAGAAAGATCCCAGGGTTTAACAAGGATCGTGCTATGCCCTGTGCCTAGGGCAGATATTCTTCTGGCCTCAAAGTACTCACAGAAGAAAGAATATTCAATTCTAACTGTGTCAGACTCTGTACATATATGACTTCTCCTGCACGGCCACCTTAGAAGGGATTAGGCATCTTTTGTCTCATTACAGAGGAGAGCAAGGCTTGGAGAAGCCAGACTTAGGGTTTCAGAATGACTCAGGCCTCGTTTTGAAGCCAACACATTCTCTGCCCTTGAGCACTGCTGCTCCTCACCTACCCAAACCTGCCTATTACACTCCTGGCCAGATCCTAGCCAGCGCGCACAAAGCTGCCCCAAGTGCTTCTGGCAGACAGTGGTTTCTTTAGATCCTGTGCCAGCACTCATCATCAGTCCCAAGCATTCCAGCATCTATTCAGAGTCTATCAGTTCTGGAACCCAGCATACAGGAAATACAGCATTTGTCAAAAAAAGAACAAGAAACTCTAAGAAATAAGATAATGGAAAAAATTTTAAAAAGCCATACAATAAGTTGGTAAAAAGAAAGCAGAACAAAAAGAAAAAATGGGAAAATCAGTAAAAAAAGATAGTATTATATGTGTATTCGTGTGTGTGCACGTCCACATCTCCCTTAGATAGGTGCTCCAGGAAGGGAGAACAGAATACAGAGAAAGATAAAAAAAATAATGCACACGGGGTCAGGGATACAGCTCAGTGGCACAGCACCTACTTGGCAAGGGCAAGGTCCTGAGTTTGATTTCCGGTACCGACTGTCAAATGCACACAACTAGAACCGAAGAACACGAGAGGCCAGATGTCAGCAAAATGAATGCAGAGACCAACAACTATGTGCATATCCTGATAACTCAGAACACCAGGATATGAAGGTCCTTAAAGGAGGAGAGGAAATAACAATTCGAGGTCAAAAGTCTGGGAATCAGGATGGGAAAAGACTCGGCAGCAGCACTAACACCGAGAAGACAGAACACAGGAATGCTTGAAAACTTTGAGGGATAATGATTTCTGATGCAGAACTCACCTAACCAAACTACAGACAGTCTGGAAAGCATGAAAAAGGCTTTTCCACAGATGATGCAAGATTTCAAAAACATTTCCTTTGCATGCACTTTCCCCAATATTAATGAAAGATGTACACGAAAGATGTGATGGGAAGACACAGGATGATACAAGGCCATTGAGCCTACAGAACATAAGAGAGCTAAACACCTTTCAAAAGCAAAAAACAGAAAAAAGAAAAAAGGACATCTAAAGTATAAAAAGAGTGATCAGGTCTAGGACTAGGAACAGGAGGGATCAGTATAAATAATGGAAGTTTTGTTTTACAAATTCTGCTTTAAAAAACAGTAAAGCAGCAGTACCTGCTATTACACACATACCATGCATCAGGCACCTCACACACATCCCTCTGGGAGACTCTCAACCTCGCCTACACTGGGGTCTATTCATTATGATCTGTTATGGTGCCAACTCCAACCCCTTACGGCTGCTGACAGAACAGAACGAGACAGTGCATTTCACTGGGTCCTGCACTGTGCTTGGTTGGCACAGTGTTAAATTCAGGAAAATGTAGTGATTATTATCCCCACTGAAAAGATGAAAAGACCCAGAGGGAGGAAAAAACATGAACATGGGGCAGAGAAACAGCAGTTCAACTGGATGAAGAATAAGTATAATGAGCATTGCTAGGTGGGAGTCAGGCGAGAAAGGAGTCCGCATGGGAGCCTCTGGATGACATCTGGGTGAAAGCACCCCAACAGTCCAGGCTGGGGTCAGCTAGACTTTGCAAGTCTATGTTCTGTACTACTTAACTCTGCCACTGTAGCAGAAAAACAGCAGTAGATAATATGTAAAGGGATAAGTGTGACGTGTCTCAATACAACTTTATTTACAAAGACAGGCAGCGGGTCAGTTTGGTCTGCAGTTGGAAGACACGTGACTTCTGGTTTAACTGAAATGTAAAGAAAGCCAGAACATGGCCCAGAGCAGCAAAACTGATGGGCAGAATGAACACAGAATTCTACGAAAGAGAGATGAAGGTGATGAGGAATCTGTCTATACACATTCATACCCACACATGCACACACCATTTTCTCTGCCTGGGGCTCTCCTCCAATGCCTGCCATATTTCTCTTTTCTATACTATCATAAATCTCTCTTCTTTCCTCTTGGCTTCTGTACCTCTTAAAACTCCCCCCACCCCTGTGGTGCTGAGGATCAAACCCAGAGCCTTGATTACCAGGGGAAGGCTCTACCACTGAGCTGCACCTCCACCGGATTCCTCTGAAGGCTCTTGGTTATTTAAGACAGTCATCCTATAGTTTCTTTCACATTAAGTTCCTGAACTGCAATCCTCTTGCTGGCCTTTCTCCAAGGGGTGAATTTTCTCACATGATGAAAAGGCCGTGAGTAGGAGCAGTGGGGGGCTGCCCTTCCTGCAGCAGGCCCTGGTTCAGAACAAGTAATTCCAGCACCTGGGAGGCTGAGGCAGGACCACCACTGTGAGCTTGAGGCCACCTGCGCTACACAAGTTGAGTTCAAGGGCAGTCTGCTCACATACAGAGCAAGACTCCGGCTCAGAAAAACACCAGGCTTTTAACTAGTTGTGATGCATACAGTCCTGGCTACTTGAGAGGCCCTGGGCAACACAGGGAGATGCTAAGAGGAAGTGGAGTAGGCTGAAGAAAAAGAATATTCATGACATCTGAGTATTACAATAAATTCAAATTTCAGAGTTCATAAAGTTTTATTGGGGCACAGTCCCTCATTTGCATAGTTTCTACAGGAACAAAGGCAGAGTTGAATAGCTGAGACAGACCACATGGCATATAAAGCTGAAAATACTGACTCCCTGCCCCTTTACTGACAGTCTGCTGACCCCGAGTCCAGCTTCCTGGGCTGCTGCTGTCAGAATCTCCCCTCGCTGCAGGAGGAGGTCAGGCACTGCAGGGCACTCATGCTTTTGGAGCGGCTGTGCTGCTGGCCTTCGGGGACATTACTCTGCGACCTCTCATCCGACTGACCTCTTCATTTCCCTTTCCACGGCCCCTGTAGGGGTTGCTTGCCACAGTGCAGTCCTGAGCTCTCTTCAATTCAGCTGTGTTTCCCCAGGGCCAGGCTTAAAGAAAGTTTGAGGATCACCTGGATTCAAATCCCTTGGATAATATTAAAACTGCAAGTTCCTGGCCCGAATCCATACCTACTGATCAGAATCTCTGCAGGTGGAGCACGGGATGAAGAATTGCTAAACAAGTTTGCTTCTGAATGCAAACAATGAAATCTGTGAACCACTTCCCTGAGCAATCTCCCTTGGCTCTCCTCAGCCTAACTATCAGTTACCTGCTCAGGACTCAAAATTCTGTCTCCAACTCTGCCTCTTTCCGAACACCGGATGCCACAGGAATGTCTCAAGGATTCTCTGCTTATTTATTTGGTTTCTTTGTTGTTAGGGATAGATTTTAGCACATAGTTCAGGCTGAACTCACTATGTAGTCCAGGTGGCCTCAAATGTGCACAGTAATCTCCCTGCTTCATCCTGCCGAGTGCTGGATTACAGAATTCCCACACTATGCCGTTTTTCTGCTTGTTTCTTAAAGGTACATATTCATCATGCACCAAATACGTTCTTCTCAACACTACTCTTCCCCTGTTCTCTATTTCAATTAAAAGACTCGCTTTCCGTCCTGCAGCCTAAGCCAAAAGCTTGGGCTGGCTGCCAAATCCTAACACCACTGAGCAACCTCCTAAGTGTCTTTTGCCCAGTCCCTCCTTGTCCTGTTCTAGCTTTCGCCTTCCCATTTCTAGGATTGTTACAGCGACTTCTACGGCAAGACTCCTGGACCTTTTCAGATCTGCTCTTTCCACACCCTCATCCTCATCCCTTCCCTTGGCCTCAGCCAAGCGTATAGCTCCAGAGGAAGCAGCAGCTGCATGCACGTCTCCCTTCCTGTTCTCATTGCAGCTGGCGTGATCTACCGCACCGCTTCTTTCCAGGCTCTGCAGTGAAGTCTCGGCTATTCCCTGCTCAGCCAGGATGGCTCTGCCAGCCTCGGCCACCTGCCCCTCCTCCCTTGCTGCACCCACTGCAGTTCCCTGGCCCCTCTCCACCCCGCAGCTGCTCTGCTGCCCCAGGCCTTTTTTCCTCCTTCTGCCCGGTGAACTGCTGTCTGTTCAAACTCAGCTAGGGCACCTCTTCTCAGAGAGGATTCCTGAGTGCCCTAGGAGGGCTTCTCTGATCACCAACTCCGAGCTAACCTTGACTTTGGACAGTCCATCTGTTAATCAACTTTGTTAATCTGTTAATCAGACTTTGCACAACTCCAGCTAGCTCTCTTATCCTCTAGGCCTGACACAAAATAGCTGGTAGACGCCTCTGAAATCCAAACACACCCAAATGAGTCAAGGATAATTCTACAGTTTGAGCCTGAGGCCCTAACATCATGAATGAATTAGTCAAAAGGCATAAAAAAAATCAGAAGGACCCAGGTGTGATGGTATACTCCTACAATCAGAGCTACTTGGAAGGCTGAGGCAGGAGGATCACAAACTGAAGCCCAGCTTGGGCGACTTAGCAACTTTAGTGAGATCCAGGGTCAAAAATAAATATATATGCACATGCAAATACACACACACACACTTTTTACTCTAAGCAGTTCAAGAGTTTATACTTAGAGCAACTTAAATGTTGCTTTTCCTGAGCTGCAGAGTTCAGCCATGGAACTGTCCAGAGGCTCTCTCTTCATATACAGATCCAGAATCAGACCACGCGCACTGAAAAGGGAGCTCGGGCAACTCTCAGACTACAGTCAGAGACCTTCGGAACAGCAGGGAGAAAACACAGTCATGATACGGAAGATCTGATCTGGGCTGTACCTGAAATAGGACCCAACTGGGCCATTTTTCCCAGCCAAGGGAGAGGTTCTGGGCCAGGCTCAAAAAGAGACATCATGAGGTTTGACTTCTTCTTGCTGTCGGCTTGGGAGTACAGCATTCCATGCCACTCAGGACTAGGCGGAGAGAACACAGAGAGGAGAAGAACATTAACCCTTGGACCCGCGAGTTCAATATATCTGCCCTGTTTTTCTCAAGATGCAGTCTTCAGTTCTGAAATCAGGCACATTACTTTTACCAAAGTCAAATACTAACCCTGAAAATGCATACTACCATCCCCTAAAATTTCCATTCCTTTGATGTTTATAAAGTAGTTTAAGGAGAGCAACAAGTAGCTGTAGGGGGATGAGGAAGAATAATAGCTACAACCCACAGATCTTTTCAGCTGTCTCCCAGAGTTGCAGGGCACCAACACAGAGAAGCCCATCTAACACAGGGCACAAGGCCATCACTCAGTTACTTGGGCAATGCTGTCCCCAGATGCTCAAAGGGTCCAGATAATCAGAGACATAATACATAACTTGGTTGCTAAATCTGGGAGATTAAAAAGAACTGCATAACACTGGGGAAGCTGAGGCAGGAAGATCCCCGAGTTCAAGGCCAGTTTGGGCTACAAAGTGAGTTCAAGGCCAGCCTGAACTGCACAGTGAAACCCTATCTCTAAAAGACCAAACAAACAAAAAACCAAATAAAACAAACAAAAAACAACAACAAAAAAATTTCAGCCAGGCATGGTGGTGTATTCGTACAATCCCAGCACTCGGGGAGGCTGATACAGGAAGATTCCAAGTTTGAGCCCAGTCTGCGCAACTCAGTGACTTAGCGAGACCTTATCTAAAAATAAAAAAGGCTGGGGATGTAGCTCATTGTGAAGCCCCCGAGTCCAATCCTCAGTAGGTAAGAGTTACACTGTTCTTTCTCAGTCAGCTAATTTCACTGAAGCAGTAATGCAGACAGGCTTCCTGTGATTCATTTTAACCTCTCAGTATTCTGTACCAGCCAATCCCAGGTGATGGCCAGAAGGGACTTTTCTAACAACAGATATTACACGGAGAGCATCACAGATTTCCCCACTGTAGAGAAGGTAGTCTTCCTCACCAGGAAGGGACGCAGCAGAACAAGTAGAGTGCGGGTTCTATAAGAAAAAAAAGAGTCCTGGCTCTTTCATTTACTACGGTGACTGTGTGACCTTGCGAAAGTCCCTGACCTCGCTAAGCCTCATCTCATCTATAATGCACAGATACCACCAATGCGGCCTGCAGTGTGCTGCTGGGTCACACTAAGTGAGCTTAAATATGTAAGACACCAGAAGAGTACCTGGCACATGGTGAAGTTCCCAGCGTATTACTTTTCACTTTATAGCTGCAGAGCCTGTAAATTCTGCTTTTTTTTTTTTTTTTTTTTTTTTTGAGACAGTCTTGCTATGTATTTCAGGCTGGCCTCAAACTCTTGGCAATCCACCTGCCTCAGCCTCCCAAGTGCTAGGATTACAGGGTGCATCACCACACCTAAAATCTTACAGCAAGTGGGCAGCATTGCTATCATCAGAACCCAGATATGCAAGATAAGACTTAACAAGAGGCAAACTGATAAATAATGTAAGCAATAAAGAGGAACTAGAAGATTTATTGCATACGTATTCTAAGGAATGATTTAGAGTAGTGTAGAGTAGTAGCTTAGAAGTTTAAACTTAGAATGACAAAGGGGAGGGTTTGGCAGGAAGAGGAAAAGGGTGACAAAGACCTTTTTTTTTCTTCCAAGAAAAGTGTGAAAAATTTCACCCAGAGAGCTGATTTTCTTCAATCCTTTTATCCAACCAAATGTAAGCAAGTCTCCTACCCTAACTGGACAATTGCCACCATTCCTTCCACTTTTAGACTGCCATGCAGTAGGACACAGAAGTTGGGTATTTTGCCTGCAATCTGATTGGCTGAATTTTCATCTTCGTTGTCATCAGTGATGCCAGTACCCACCTCATCTCCTTCTGTAAAAAGAAGATAAGTTAAGTGGAGATTAGCTGCGGAAACTCCACAGCCCAACACCATGCTCGCATGTGGACTATTCCTTTTTGTTACAGCCTCTAAAATGGGCCAACCTCCTACCCAACATTTAAGAATAGCTCTAGAAGCTGGGCATGGAAGTACATGCCTATAATCTCAGCACTTGGGAGGCTGAGGCATGAGGATCATTCCAAATTCCAGACCAGCCTGAACTGCATAGCAAAACCGTGTCTCAAAAAAAAAAAAAAAAAAAAAAAAAAAAATAGCTCTAGATAATATGATGCTTCATGTGGATCAGGGGCACAGAAAAACAACTCACCTTTGTTAAGTGCTATAGGTAAGACCAGGTGTCTGGACAGAACTGGGGGACTTGAAATATCAGCTATGTCAATAAATCCCACTATTTCTAAATCTGAAAGGAAAGAATCAGCATATAATCAATGCATATGAAGGGAAAGTATATTACTTCCTATGTAATGGATTTTATTAACATACTGTTTTAGTCGAGATTTCAGTATGACCACTGAGAAAGTTACCAGACTTTTCTGTGGAAGACACTATTGCATTTTAAGAAGCTTAGGAAATAACTGTCTTTTATTTAATGAATTTAAGTCAAATGATAAATCAGTTAAGAGATATATTATTTTTATCAGCAAAGGTCTCAGCCAAGACAAAAGCTTATACGTCAAATCTCTGGATATAGTCAAGGGATATTCAGGTCACTAGTGGGCATTAAAAATTAAACACTTCCACAACAACCTCATTCAGCTTTCTCTGGAAAGTAAATGTATCTGTGAGAAATAAATGCATTCTCCATAAAACCAGTATGACAATGATTTGTCTGCTTTCTAGAAGCTGGCCTAAGCTGGGTACAATGGCACATCCCTGCAATGCCAGCTGCTCAGGTAGCCCAGGCAGCAGGACTACACATTCAAGGCCAGCCTGGATAATTCAGCAAGAACCTGTCTCAAAATAAAAAAAATACGTGGGCTGGGGAAGCAGCTCAGCAGCTGGGTGCCCCTGGGTTTGATCCCCAGTAATAGAACAAACAAACAAACAAACAATTATATTAAATACCAATACTATTTGTTGAAAACTTAAAATAAATAAAAATTCCTTTTTTTTTTTTTCTTTTTATCGGTACCGGGGATCGAACTCACGACTGCTTGCAAGGCAGGTACTTATGCCACTGAGGTAAATCCCCGGCCCAAAATAAATAAAAATTAAAGTTGTAACTAAAACTTTTTAAAAGTTTCTTCCGATTATACAATTAACACAAAAACACTAAAAATTACAAAGAAGCGTAAGAGAAAACTCATTACTCATCGTAAAAGAAACACCTATTAAAATTTTATTGAACTGATTTTTAATCTTTCTTCTAAGCAATACACAACCATAATAATCTCAACAGTTTTAAAAATCAGAACCATAGTGAATATATGATTTATCTGAGATCTGCTGTCCTTACTGCCCTGAGGTAAGTACCCGGTGAATCAGCACAAGCAGTTACACAGTTTCACTTGAGTAGAGAAAGGCTTCCTGTATCTTTAGTGGTTTAAATATCAGCTATAACAAAGATCATGGACTAAAAGTTTATACTGGAAAGAAAAGGCCTATTTGAATTACTTGCCAAAAAAGGATGGAGTGGAACTGAACTGCTTTGAAGGCATTACACACTGGGTGCAGCTTAATGTACCGTTGTGGAGTCATGACAGAAAGAGATGGATGCTCTGTTTCCAGACAGCTGACAGCTAACAGCACAAAAGCCCGGCCTCGCAGCCCTTCGTTCTAAAACCTCGAGGCCCAAAACAATGAACACTCACTGCACACCTAAGTTACTTACCGAGCGTCTACCCAGGGTCGGAAGTTACCCGGGGCCGGGGGAGCTGCGACACAGGCTGCAAGTCACACCTATCCCTAAGAGGTTCACAGCACCCTGCACTGCCAGTCTCAGCTAAGCCTGGGTGTCACCAGTCTCAGCTAGGCAAGGTGCCAGCAACAGCACAGGGAAAAGCAGCAGCACACTGCTTTCTTTTAGTCATAAAACAAGCAGCAAAGCTGGAAGAGTGCAATATATCAGCACTCAGTGCTTACAGACCATCTGATTGAGTCCACTCACCTGCCCAATAAAGACTGAGGAAGTGCACCTGGGGGTGGTGAGGCACGCCTGTTAGCCTAGCACTTGGGACACTGAGGCAGAAGAACTGCTGCAAGTTCAAGACCAGCCTGGGGGGCTGGGGATTTAGCTCAGCGGCATAAGCACCTGCCTTGCAAGCAGGCGGTTGTGAGTTTGATCCCCGGTACCGATTTAAAAAAAAAAAAACCAGCCTGGGCTACAAAGTGAGTTCAAGGCTTGAACTGCACAGTGAATCTGTCTCAAAAAGACCAAAACAAAACAAAAACTGGGTCAGTTCTTTCAGAGTCATACAGTAAGAGTTACAGAGCCAAGTCTAGAAGGTTGCCCTTCACACAGGACTTCAGTTATGATGCTCATCAATCTCAGTATCTCCATGAAGAATCACCTCAAAGAGGTCAGTGCTAATAAATCTGGCCACGATTTCCAACTGCAGCAATGTGTGATAACGATGATTTAGGATCAGTAATCTGCCATCCTCTAAGTAATACATCCACTAATCCAAAGTGCTGATGACAGTAGCACCCTAGCATCTGACTATAAGATTCTTTTTAATCATCCTAGATGATGGAGAAAGTCAAAGTCACAAGAAAGTAAAGGTAATAGAAAAACGAGGAAGAAGTTCTAAAAGCCAATTACCTGTATTAATGACTTTAGGAATAGGATCAATCTCTTCATCCACAACGAAAGGTTCTGGCCTAGGGAAGACTTGGACGTCAGCGGTTAGATGGCCACACTTGAGAACAGCATGAAAAGGTGTGTATGCCAGGTCTATCAGCTTTCTAGGAGACAATGATGGATTATTATAGAAAGAGTAATACGATACACAGAAAAGTAATCTTTTTGCTTTGGTTTGTTTTATGAGACAGGGTCTTGTTATATAGTTCAGGTTGACCTTGAACTCACTGTGTAGCCTGGACTAACCGCAAACTAGCAACAATCCTCCTGCCTCCTGACTAGAAAAGTAATCTTTTAAAACGCAAAGCTTGTTTTCCTTTTATACTGCTCTAAAACTAAATCTGACCGCTTATGAAACAGAATACAATCTGACATTTTTGGTGAAGAAATTTTAATTCTAAAAAGCCCAAAAGCAAGTTAATCTTTGAAACTGCTAAATTACAGTACAGAAGTCAATACCTTTAAGGCATCACATATTTAATCATAGTTAATTTAAAAGAGTGAACTTTCTTTTTTTTTTTTTTTTTTTTGTCTTTTTGAGACAGGGTCTCTCTATGCAGTTCAGAATGGCCTTGAGCTCACTTCGTAGCCTACGCTGGTCTCGAACTCCCTACGATCGTCCTGCCTCAGCCTCCCGAGTGCTAGGATTACAGGCGTGACCCACCACGCCCGGCTCAAGAGTAAACTTTCAAAAACCACTATTATTAATCATTTTATCTGAGACATGGGCAATTTGGCGAAAATGAAATAACAATTAGAAACTGTCAAATCATGATACTATATTGCAAGTAAAAAAAATAAATAAATAAACACACACTTACCCAAACATAGACTGTACATTTTTCAAGCACAGGGGGCCATCAATAGTAAAAATTTGCCCTTCACCGTTGTTTAAATCTATGAGACGTTCAAGGCATTCCAAGGAATCTGTGCTTTGAAGCTACAAATCAAGAGGTGACCCCTTGAAAAATGGAACAACAGACCACTACCAGCACACAAAGTCACAGCCACCGCAATAACACAGAAATAATTGAGACAATTTTCTTAACAGTTGACACGAGATAGAAATAGCTGCAATGATCAGACTGAAAGGTACAGAAATGTTCCATAAAATGACAGCAGTAGAGGTATTTCATCCTCAAGTACTTTTGCAAAGATTTCCACAGGAGGTTAGTGGTTGCCTAGTATCTTTCCCTCCGAGGTGTTTCTCCAACACCTTCTGGCAAGAACCATGGTTATCGACATTTTAGAGAAAAACTGACATGAGGAAAGATGAATGAACTTTCCTAAGTACACGGGAAAACCAGAAAGCTAGGTGTCAAATAAATACCTTAGAAGAATTTCACTTTACAAAAAATAAATAAGTAAATAAAAATCAAAGTACAGCTCTGTCAACATTTCTGGTGGAACAGATGAAAGAATTCCTGAATTAGGGAAATAAGTAACACCGAAGTTGATATCAAGCCTTCCTGACCCATCAGCAGGAGGGCTAACGCGTCCAGCCACACTCCCCAGCGGAGGTGACACTGAAACATCAAAGCACACCTGAGGCAGGCACAAACCCCGAGCAGCCCTCGGAGAAAACAGCATTGGAGCCCAGCACAACACAGCACAGAGTCAAGCACTAACATAACTGGAGCCTGAGGTTATTCGGTTAAACTGGAAAACTTAGGAAAAGGCATTACCTCCTCCAAATTTGCCATGCACATAATGTACAACTTCGACGGGAAAGGAAAAGGTAGTGGAAATCTGCTGCTCTCACTTCTCTGGTTGTGAGTGGCCAGGGAATGTCGCAGTGATCCTCTACCAATGCCAAGACAGCCATCCGTCACCAGAACCACCTGTTTGTAAAGGAGAGAGGAAGTCGACACTTTAAATGACATATGCAGAGCAGTTCCAGCTCATGATGCTCTCCCTGCTAGAAAGGGTTCTGAGGGAACAATGTGATGAGAATGGTCTTTATCTTACCTGTAGCAGGGGTTCACAAGTATATGCATTTGTCAACTCAGTAAACTGTTTAAAATCTACCTGTTCTACTCCATTTCACTTAAATGTCAATCACCTTCCTCTGAACACTTCCAATTTTTACTTAATTGTATTAAAAGAAGGCGTTGGTACTTAATGCATTCATGTAAAAACAGCATGACTTATGTCACATCTGGAAGTACCAGATCTTAAGTTATTATTTCACATCCTTGGAAGTACCAGTTCTTAAGTTAACTTCATCACTTCGCTTGCTTTCCTAGTTATCGTTTTTTTTTTGGCAAAGTTTATTTTTATTTTTTTGGCACCAGGAATCAAACTTACAACCTTGCACTTGCCAGGCAGGCACTTGTGCTGCTGAGCTAAATCCCCAGCCTGCACAGTTTATTTTTTAAGATGACAAAGTCTATGTGTAGTTAAGTAAAATGACAACTATCAGAGACATTTAATCAGTACACATGATCATTTAAAATGCGTACTTGAGAGCTCGGTATGGTGGTGCATGCCTGTAATCGCAGCTGCTCAAGAGGCTGAGGCAGAAGGGTTTCAAGTCCAAGCGCAGCGTGAACAATTTAGTGAGAAAAGGCAGTATTACCTCCTATAAATTTGTCATGCACGCGATGTACAACTTCGACGGGGAAGGAAAAGGTAGTGGAAATCTGTGCTCTCACTTCTCTGGTTGTGAGTAGCCAGGGGATGTCACAGTGACCCTCTACCAATGCCAAGACAGCCAGCGTCACCAGAACCATCTTATTTTTTAAAATAAAAAATGTTTTAAAGGTAGGGGATGAAACTCAGTGGTACAGTGGCCCTGGGTTCAATCCCCAGTATTGCTCCACCCCACCAAAAGCGTACTTAATCCATCCATAATTTGAAAAAGCCAATAAAACATACCGAAATTAGCTGATAACTGCAAAACCATGTTCCTTTTTTTCACTGCTTCAGGGAAACCTTGTAGGGCAAAGATTTACTTGTGCTGCAGGGGAGAATTATATTTGCTTTCTTTGCTGAGTCAGGTAACTTGATAACAACAGGCCATTGAAGCAGCATTAGATGTTGCACCATGTGAAATACCAAGACTGCTGCTTCCTTCCAAAGCCTAACGATGCTTAATGGCAGTCCCCAGAAGAGACCTCATCCTTTGGGAAGACGATCAACTGACTAGAGGCAATTTCCTTTATGGGCACCATCCAATGGTCTACAGCGATCTACTCCTGACACTAGCTTTTAGGTGCTATGTGATAATGAATTATTTTAAGTCACGTCAAAATTGGACAGACTTTACTCAAATAGTGAGGACACAGTCCATTTATCTAAAATCTTGATTTAACAGAGTCTAAATTTCTAGAAATTTGACACCGACTGGTTCTAATAATCAGAATTGAGTCTGAGCCACTGGGCAAGCCTCAGTCCGGTCCCTTGCTGTCAGGGTCCAATTCCCATCTAATTCACAGTCTTCTTTTCAAAGAAAGAAAAACACCAAAGGTGTGAGCCTGCATGGTACCCAGGGTCTAGTTCTTAAATTTCTTCCCTCATTTTTCACTAAGACCACAGAAGAAAAAGCAGACAACTGTGCTACCTGCTAAGGACTGGTTCAGAAGATCCTGGCAACAAAATCTCACTTCCTCTGTATACTGATAGGAAATTGGCTACTCCATTTATAAAAACTGCCCAAAACAAATAAAATCTATGAAGTGCCAAACTTATATTCCTGAAAAGGAACTGATCAAATGGCATTTGCCAGTTTCTTTAGCAAGTACCCACCAATCTCATTTGATTTAACCTTAGTAGTAGTCAGAGTCTTCTTAAACCTGAGAGTTTGTATTCTATCAAACAACGGTTTTCACAGAAAAAAAAAAAGTTTTTAGACTTCCTTTTTTAGTATAGTTCTGACAACTACATCCAGTTATGTAACCATCCCCATAATCTAGGTAAACCATCCTACTGCTTTCTGTGTTGCTTCCTATTTTGTCTTTTTCCTTTTTATCGGTACCAGGGATCGAACTCACAACTGCCTGCTTGCAAGGCAGGCGCTTATGCCACTGAGCTAAATCCCCAGCCCCCTTTGCTTCCTATTCCTTTTGAATTAATTTGTAGCCTTTCTTCACTCCCAGGTGACCACAATCTTATTTCTGGTACAAATACAAGTGACATCACTGATACTACTGAGAAATCCTGTGTTTGCCCTATAATAAAAAGTCATGTACCAGGCAACAGCAAGCTACAGCTCACAGACCAAATCTAGCCCAATGCCTGGATTTGTGGTAACGTTTTATTTCAACATCCATTCACTTAGTATCAACTGAGGCTGCATTCATTCTGTAAGAGCAGAGTTGAGTAACTGCCATAGTAAAGCCTAGAATAAAGAAAAAGTCTGCTAATGCTGCTGCAGGTTGTTGTGATTTTCCTTTTAGCAATCTGTTTTCTCCTTTTGAATATAATATTAATATACAAAGTATCTATTATAGCAAACTTCTCATTCTTTTTCTGCTGCTGCTCTGGACCCACTGTGAACTCTATGTAAAGAGCAACAGGTTTTGTGACATTTATAACCTCACTTTTAGACAATCAGAGAGGTCAGAGTGTAAAAGCTGGCTGAATGCAGGTTACCTTACTAATGAAGACAGACTGTACTGCACTAGTTCTGTCACTCAAAATTACAATCACTCTTTCCTGGGGGTGCAATTCTTAAATCCCACTGGGGGCCATTCTCTTACACAAACATTACCCATTTGCAATAAGTCAATAACCTAGGAAGATGCCTTCCTTAAGGCATAATTTTGCTGCTTTCTGAGCACATTCATGTGATTTAGCTTAGATTAGTGTAATAAGATTAGAGTGATTTAGTACCTTCTTTTAAAAACCGATACCAATAGTATAAAACGTAGTTTGTGGAAATTACAATGCTTGATGTGTTGGGGCCTAAGGAATAGCGAAGCACCACAGAGGTTAATGTTTTTAAGTTGGGGCAACGATAAAGCACTGATCTTTTACCTGGCAAGGAATTGCACCACCCCATTCCTGCTGAACAATGTTGCAAACACCAACTAATGCAGACTCCAGGCAGGTTTTGTCGTAATCATCCATATTACTTAGTGCTTCCTTTTTGAGTAAAAAAAAAAAAAAAAGGTCATTATTATTCTTCATTGTTTTACTAGAAAATCACACAAACTATTCAAAGTATGGATATTACACAAGAGACAGTGAGTTTGAGAGCTCAAAGCGTAAGTTCTCAAAAAAAACCAATACAACAGACTTCTTCAACTATAAAGAAAAATCATCATGAGCTGCTCTTGTTCTACCCTCTTATTGAGAGTCAATATTTCTCCAAGATTCTATCCTTATAAGTGGACCCTAAAGGAAAATACTGAAGAACTTAAAACATATCTCAAAAATAATGACAAAATTATTGAGTATTAACTGAGCACCATTCTAGGCATTTTATGTGGATTTTATCCTCACCCTATTAGCTCTCCTTTGATTGAGGAAACTAAGGTACACAAAGATGAAGTAATGCTCCCAGGTGTCACAACAAGACAGAGCAGAGCCCAGATTTCTACCCGGGGAAAGTGACTGCAGGGCTCCCCTGCTTAATCATTACCCCTCATTATTTAAGTTGCAATTTTCCATTTCAGAACCACGGGACACCACAAATCCTTAGCATAGCCACTTATAAGAAAGCCAGTGCAAGCTGGATTCACTGGTACAAACCTGTAATCTCAGCTCCTTGGAAGGCTGAGACAGGAGGACAGTGAGTTTTGAACAAATTGGTCCACAAGTGAGACCCTAATCCCAAAAATAAAAGCAAACAAATAAGCCTTTTTTGCAAAAACTGTACTAGTTTGCTTTTTTGTTGTTGTTGTTTTTGTTTTTGGGAATAGGGTGTCACTAACCAGTCCAGGATAAACTTGAAGTCACTAAATTGCCCAGGTGAGCACACAACTTATAATTCTCTGCCTCAGCCTCCTGAGTACTAGGATTGCAGGCATGCACCCCTACAACCAGCCTTAAAATTTTTTTCTGAGGGGCTGGGGATTTAGCTCAGTGGCATAAGCACCTGCCTTGCAAGCAGGCAGTCGTGAGTTCGATCCCCAGTACCGATAAAAATGAAAAAGACAAAAAAAAAAAAAAAAAAAAAAAAATTTTTCTTCTAAATCTGTTTACACAGAATGCTCTAGCAAAAATTTACACTTCATATTTTTAAAAATTCAAACTGCATTGATCCTGGATTTCTAAACTGCCTAATGATTCTGAAACGGCAGCTTAATCCCACCAGCACTTACAGGCTACTCAGCATTGTGAGAAGCCCTGCTGGAAAGAATGATTTAGAGATGGCAGAAATGAAATTTTTTTTTGGCACATCACAGAAAATACCCTGGGAAGAAAGTACCTACCAATCACAGTGTTTTATTTTGTTTTTTTTGAGACAGGGCCTTGCTTTATAGTGCAGGCTGGCCTCAAACTCATGGTGATCCTCCTGCCTCAGCCTCCTCACTACTGAGATTACAGGCATGCATCCTATGCCCAGCCCTACCAAGATTTAAAAACTGTAATTTCTTGGTTTCCGTATACTAAAGATCCTTGTTGGAGAGTAATATCATTTTGAAGTACTTTAGAATAAGGGCATTTTTTTTCTTTTTATAAAGGAGAGATATTTTTTTCACTTCCCTAAGTTTCATGAGAAGGTTAAAAAAAAAAAAGCAGTGCTGAATCTAAAAATGCTCAATTTTAGGGAGTACTGCATCCTGAGATGCTCTCCTTTCTACAGAGAAGTCCAGAAAACCAAGAGACACAGCAGCAAAGCCTCTCACACCTCTATGACAGAAAGACAAAACATTTATTAATTGTAGATCTTGCTTTTCACCTACCCATACACTTATTATTAAATAATTGCAAATTCTACAAATAAAGTATAACATTGTAAGATAGTTTTTGGGTCCTGTACACACAAGAACATATTTCTTTCTGTACCTGCAAGGTGTTATAATCTCTTGTGAACGGAACCATCAACTCCCAGAGTGATGAAAACACCACGAGGGCTGTGAATTCCAGCTTGTAATTTGTGGCCATGTGCTCGAACAGCATCGTCAGACCGTGGGCTGCCAAGTGCTTGCGCTGGTACTCCTCGGAGCCCTCGACAGACACGGGCCGGGTCATGGAGAGGGACACATCCATTACCACCACCGTCGGCATGGCGAAGGCCAACCCAGGGCTCCCAGCCAGAGTGCAGAGAGATAGCTACTAGCCGAGAAACGCTGGGGAGAACAGAAAGGCCGTGCATGTCACGGGAAGGAAAACAATAGTTCATCATCATTTTAGGCATTTCCCCAGAAATAAATGAATACATTGAAATGGAAGAGCGGGCAAGCCGCAGAGAGTTAGTTACAAGGAACAAGCAGCTTAGTTCACTGTGAGGACCATTCCAGAACCGTTCACTAAGCAGCCAGAGACAAGGAGCTACCACAAGCATTTCTACTGAAAAAATTCAATTCAGATAGGCCTTGATGTTCATACTTGCCATTTTTCACGACTGACTACAATGAACATACCTACGTCACCTCTCCAACACTACATTTACTGAGCGACATTCGTACTTACCATCTGTGGTGCCACTGTACAGTACCTGAAACTCCCCATTCTTTTTTTGGCACCACAGGCACTGTAGTCAATACAGCAGTATTAGTTCAAGCCCAGGCTGGGACTCAGTAAGATTCTTGTCTCAAAATAAAATTTATAAAAGAACTGGGGACATAGCTCAGAGGTAGTGTTCTTGCCTAGTATGCACAAGGTCCTGTGTTTAGTCTCACTGAAATCTCAATCTCCTATCAAGAGATAGGAGGGTAAGAGTACACTGTTCCCAACTTAAAGACTCTAGGTGGCTATACACAGGTTAGCGATTTAATGTTCACTCACTCGTGTTTCGGAATTCACTTCACTACATATAGCAAGAGCCAGGCATGGTGGTGCACACCTGTAATCACAGCACCTGGGAGGCTGAGGCGGAGGATTACTGTGAGCTCTAGGCCAGCTTGGGCTCCACACTGAGTTCAAGGGCACTACATAGCAAGACTGCATCTCAAAAAAACCAAAACAAAACAGCCATTTAACAATAACCAGACTGTTTGTAGGTACAATGCTCAAATCTAAATGTGATATTCTAAAATTCTATTTCTTTCTTTTTTTTTTTTTTTTTTTTTGTCTTTTTCATTTTTACCGGTACCAGGGATGGAACTCACGACCGTCTGCTTGCAAGGCAGGTGCTTGTGCCGCTGAGCTAAATCCCCAGCCCCTAAAATTCTATTTCTAAATAGACTGCTGGGAAACCTGAACATAGAAGTTCATGGAAACAATGTTACAAGGAGGAGTTAGGGATTCAGGTTAAATAAGAAAAGCCTATTATCATACAATAGCCATAGATACATTTCAAATACAACACGGTCTGGTGTATCTAACACCAATAAAGTGAAATCAGAGATAAAAATTTCTAATCCCTAAGAAATCCAAAATATTTAACATTTTGATAAAGTTACAGGTGTGTCACCCTTCCGTCTTATTAAACAGGTGTGCCAAACATAATTCACTGTCTTAAAATGAGCCAGCGCCACCACTCAGGTACCAACACTGTACTGTCCAGCACGCAGCCCGGCTGTTCCTTTCACCCAGCGTTTCCCCAGGTGTGGGCTGCAGGACATTGCTCTGGAGGGACATGCAAGAAAAATGTAAGCTTGAAGCTTACTAAAGATTCTGAGAAGTTCTACAGCAAATAGAACACGCAGGGAAACTGCCTTACAGGATCCCTGCTGTCCAGCCTTCTAACTTGGATTCTAATTTTTAGGCCTTAAGTATGTACTCTACCTTTCTCAGTAACCCTCTGTAATCATTCTGAGTTGCTGAATTGTGGCTGCCAGGGGCTGGAAATTTAGGTAATTAAGCTGGTTAAAATTGTATCCAAAGTTAAAATTAACAAACTCTGAGAACTTGGGGGTACCTTTTAATGCTATAAGCTGAGGTGTATCAACTTGAACTATTCAGTCAACTCAGTCTTTAGTGTTTAAGAGGTGAAGGTCACATTGGTTCAACTACACTATATTAGACCATAAACTCACCAAGGTCAGGGCCTAGAACAGATGTTGCCCATCACTGTCTCCTCTGAACATACCACAGTAACTGGCACATACTAGCTGCTTTACAAATACTTGATAATGGCTACTGAACCACCCTAATCACCAGATATTGTATAACAGTAATTATTTAGTGAAGTATGTTTACAGATTTTTATTCTGGTCAGCAGAAGCATATTTCTTTTTTCTTCCTCTTTCAAGGCTGAGATATCAGGGACCCCCTACACCTGCGACGAGGTAGAGCTTTTCAGCTCCTGTGATGCTAACCTACATGCATGAAAGCCTTTGTCTTTAAAAGTCAAATATCAAGTCGGGTGTAGTAGTACACACAAGTAATCCCAGCACTCAGGAGGCTGAGGCAGGAGGATCCTTCGATTTTGAATCCAGCCTGGGCTACAAATTGAGTTCAAGGCCAGCCTGAACTGCATGGCGAGACCCTGTTGTAAAATAACAACAACAAAAACACAAAAACAAAAAGTCAAATATCAGGGATGCTGTCCTCACCTATGAGAAGGGGAAATCCTTCACAGAGACATAGACAGGTCTGAGAAGGCACATCCGGTGCCCGTCAAAGTTGTGGTTAATAGTGGCCTGGGTGACTCTGATTGCCGCTCTTGAAGCCACCTCCAGCTGGCTCTTCCTCCAGATGAATGCATCTCAACAGTGGCAAATTTGTGGGAAGAGTTTAGTACTCGATCAGGTTGTCAGCACAGGGGGACTGAGGGAATCAAATGCTTTGAGAATAATGGCTCATTTATTCAAGTACTCTCGGCCTAATTAAAAATAAAGCCAAATAAAAATCCTTGCCCAACCCATCTAGTAATTTTCTGAGAACACCATTGGGTTGGATCTAGGCCTCGCGCTCCCCCGCCCGTCTCTCCTTTCGCGCAAGCACTGTTCACGTAAAGCGCTTCAGACAACTGGGGGTCGTCCTTCCCAAGAACAGCCTATACCTGCGGATAAATCTTAGCTGCCCGTCTTTATTAACTTCTAAACCCCCAAAGAAGGAATGCTAAGTCTCCAACACGGACGCAGATCTCTTCCCTGGAGCTGATTAAAATATATTTTCTCGGGAGTTTCCCCTCTCCTCGCCCTCGGCAGACCTGCCCTAAGGAGGAGGCCCTCGGCGCTGAGACGGCTTCGTTTCTCAACGTCCGGCCTAGAGATACACAGTTCCCAATCTGGATCGCACTGAAGTAAGTGCTTTTACCTTTAAAATCAGTCAAAAGCATGTGAGATCGGGAATCTCTCCCGGGAAGGTGCGCGCTGGGGCTGGAGCTGGGGCTGGGGCCAAGGCGAGCCGGAGAGGCCGGGCCGCAGGGCGAGCGGAGCCCGGAACCAGCGCCTCCGAGGCGGCGCGGGGCGGCTCCCGAGGCGGCGAGGAGGCCGACCGCAGGCCCTGCGTTGTCCTTCGGCCCTAACCTCTCCACATAGACCCCGACGCGGCAGGAAAGGCAGCCCTGGGCGCCCAGCCTCTCCGCTCAGCCCAGCTCATCGCCGGCCACGGTCCGTCAGGTTAAACGTTCCGCCCGCGCCCCACGGCCGGAACTATTGGGCCGCGGGAGAAAAGGGACCCTGGCGAGCGCCTAGAGCACTAGGCTGGGGCGGGACTTGGCGGGCTGCAGGGGGCGGGGCTATGTCTCAGATTGGACGCTAGGGGGCGCGCCCTTCTCCGCGGCTCTCTGCGCGCGCGCCCCTGTAACCCTACCTTCTCCTCCACCTCTCTGCTAGACAATATCGCAGATCTTTGGTTTTGGTTGGACCAGTGCCTTTCGGCCAGCTCTCTGTGCATTGCACTTTTCTCCCCACTACCCACGGCCGTCCTCCGTAGAGATCTATGGGCGGCCTCTGGCCCAGCGACCTGCGATCTGTTCACACTGTGCAGTCTCCTGCCCCACGCTAACCTCGCTGCTCTTTGTCTCATCCGGGCCCTCCAGCACATTGCTGACCCAAACCACAGAATCCTCTTCCTGCTCTCCCTAAACTAATTCCCTATTGAGCGCTGCTACCACTAAGCATTCTGCATATTTTTTTGTCCTGTGCTGAGCCCCATTTCTCTTGCCCTTGTCCTTTGACTCTGTGCCTCCCCTGGTTTTTGTTTGCCTGCGGTTTGAGGGTTGTAGTGAAGAGGGTGGCCTGCTGGTTAGTTAGACATTTCTTTTTTATTTAATTTTTTGTTAGCGCATATTAATAATACAGGGTGGTGAGGTTCATTTTGGGAAATTGGTACATACATTTAACATATCTTGCTCATTTTCAACCTTGTTACCTTCCCTTCACCATTTCTTTCTCCTCCCTTCATCCCTTTCCCTTCCCCAAAGGTCTGCCTTCTAGTTTCCTGTCGTCTCTCCTTCATCTAAATTAATTTACTTATTTGGCCGGTTTCAGCTTACTCATAATTTCTGATCTTGTGTTCTGAGGCCTATGGCCATGAGGGCGGAGGCAGAGGGTGGTCTAGTCACCTCCAAAGCGCTGATACCTCAGTCGAGGAGTTAGTTTTTCTTAATTACTTTCTTGTTACTGGAATGGATTTCCTGACATCCACAAGTATAAGGAGGAAAGGTTTATTTTGGCTCACAGTTTGTGGAGGTTTCAGTTCATAGTCATCTGGCAGAGGAGAAGCAGCTCAGAAGCAGAGAGACCATGGGAGGAGGAACCAGATAGACCTTTCCAGACCACCCACCTCATTTGATGAGGTTTCAGTTCCCAACATCACCTTTAAGTTTTGTTGTTTTGTTTTTTGAGATGGGGTCTCACTCTGTAATTCATGCTGACCTTAAACTTACTATGTAGCCCAACCTGGCCTTGAACTCAAGGCAACCTCCTGCCTCAGCCTTCGGAGTGCTGGGATTACAGGTGTGCATTACCATGCCTGGCCCAATATCACATTTAGCTATAAACTCAAAAGTCGACTAATCCACTGATGAGTATCACACTCCATGATTCAATCACCTCCCCAAATCCCCAAATATGACTATGTGAGGCTTTGGGGGGGACATCTAGATATAAAACTATTCTGCCAGTTCTAGCTCAGATCCAAGCTGATTCATGACCTTACCCAGTCCTAAATTTAGTCATTTGCTGATGGATAATCAGGTTTTAGTGGCCCAATTCTGCATCAAGGCTTTCTGAATACTTGGAAGGCAGAAGATTGATGTGTTGAAATTGTTGATGCAGAGTAGGACTGTGGAGAGGGCTGGGTCCCTGAGGACAGCCAGTAAGTGTTTGGAGTTTTTCCTCTCAGTAACAATCGGGAGGTTGTTCAGTGAAAACAGCATCTGAGACCATGAGCACAAGGAGTTAGAAGGGTTTCAGGAGCTGGCTTTCAGGCCATAGCTGGCTGATGAATTTCTTTCTCTACTCAAGAGAGCTTGCACACTTGCAGATGCATTCAAGGAAATCAGTACACAGCTTCCTTTGCATAATTTCCTGCCACCTTTGTTTCTTCCTGCCTCCAGTCAGTGGATGCTGTTGTGAAGGCAGGCAGAGTGGTTGGGTCACAGTCTGACAATATCAAGGTCAGCGACAGATGTCCCCAGCCACGTGCAGGGGCTCCTGGGGAGATCTAGACATCCCGCTCTGCTGCGACATGTGTGGAAAATGCAGGCTCTCAGGCCCTGCTAACTAAATTGGAAGTTCATGGCTTAGAGCCTGGGAATCTTCGTTGCTAAGTTCCCGGGATGATTTTTTCATAAGTAGCAAATGGAGAAAAGGCAAAAACAAGAAGGCCGAAAACGGCATCCCACTTCCCTTCCCCGTTCTCTCTTCTCACAGGCCTGTGCTGTGCTGTGTCCCTTCCTGTCCCCGGCCTGGAGCCCGCCTGCTTCCAAAGTACCCAAGCAAGCTCCCGGCTTGCCCTTTCTCCTCTCATTCCCGTCCCTCCAGTCTCCTCTTTCACCAGAGTAGAAGTCCTAGGAAATCAGAACATGGTGCTTCTTTCTTCTAAAAAACTACTTTATTACACAACATCTCAAACAAATGAAGATAGGGGAAATCACATAATAAAACGCTATGGCGCCTTCTCCTGGTTTTCACTGCCGGTTCAGCCTCTAATCCTGTTTCATTCATCCCCCTTCTAACTCCTCCCTAACACAGAATGTTTTTGTCCCCCACCAAAATAGAATTTTGATGCGGATCTCAGGTAGCACATGACATTCATGAAGGTTTTGGTATGCATCACTGAAGGAGACCAACTTTTTAAAGTAATTCACAGTAATTCACAGTATATCCCAGTATCAGCTATCAGATCAGCTTTCAAAGAACCAGTTGTCTTGGAAACATCAACTTTTCCTTTTTCGGCCTTGGTTGTGTGAACCTGGATCTTAGTAAGATCCAACACTGGCGTCTGTGGCTGCGTCTTTAGAGACTCTTTTGATCCCTGGTTTCCGTCCTCACATCTCCTTTCCCTCGGATAGTCTGGGCAGAGACACTGGGCCTCTTTTCTTTTAATCACTCTAGATCTTCTCTCAGTCTTTTTCATTGTGTTTGAGAAAACCACAAAGCTTGCCTCTGCACTAAGATAATGGAAAGCCTCTCTGAACAAAGCCAGCCTTTTACACACTTGCAGTCCCAATTAGCTTTGCCTCCGCTGGAAATGGGTGAGCCTTATACACAATGGGGGGGCCCAGGGTCCAGCCTGTGAGGCTCGAGATGCCTCTGGGAAAGTAGACGGGGAGAAAGAGAAATGAGTGGGGGAAAGTCAAAACAACTGAGTGTCTTTATTCAGGACACTCTTGGCCGGAGGCTGAGGCAGGAGTATCACCTTGTGTATCAGGCCAGCCTGGACTACACAGTGTATTCAAGGCCTGTCTGAACTATATTGTGAGGTACTGTTTCAGAAAAAAAAAATTTCCAGAAAACTGGGAAATAAAATACCCAGGACCAGGACATTCTCTCCTTTGAAAAGTGTTATAAAGTTAAAGTTTACATTTTCTTTTCTTTTTTTTTTTTTTTGGTGCCGGGGATCAAACTCATGACCTCACGCTTGCCGGGCAGGCACTTCAGCCACTGAGCAACATCCCCTAAAGTTTATACTTTGGTAGAGTATGAGGGTGCATTCCTGTAATCCCAGCACGCTGGAGGCTGAGGCAAGAGAGTGGTTGCACATCCAAGACCAGCGTGGGCTACAAAGTGAGCCCAAGGCCAGCCTGAATTGCATAGTGAGACCCTGTCTGAAAAAGACAATCAATCAATCAATTAATATGAAGGTTCCCCTCAGGATCTGAGCTCCCCCTAGCTTGCTAGGCACATCACTCATACTTGTAAAATTTTGGTAATATCTTTCAGTGAGGAAGCAGATAATGCAAAATATAACAAATTTGTGTCTACCTGGGAAAATTCAAAGTTTAAAATAAATACAGTAGGACATAAGCATTTCCTTTCCTCTCCATAACAATATGTGTCTCTTTCCTCGAGTACAGGTCTAGCTCCTGGCTTTGGGAGGTACAGTACCAGAGAGTTGTTCTTTGTTCATTCCATGTCTGTCAGTGACAGAATTACAATCATTTTGACATTATCTTTATAAAACTATATGAAGTCCGTGTGCATATACTACGTAATAAAATATATATACTGACTAAATATAGCAATGTTGCATGTTCTGCTCTGGGCTCCTATTATTATTGGTTAATGAATATATTGACATCAACTTTTGTTTGTTTACTTTTTTTATTTTCTGAGACAGGGTCAAACTCTCGGACCTCGAACTCTTCACCCTTCTGCCTCAGCTTCCCCGAGGGCGAGATCACAGCACCAGCCACGACTTCACCAACTGCAGTGTGTACGCTGACTGTGGGGAGGACGTACTGTCATCTGTATAATCTGTTTTCTGCCAACTTTTGGATGGATTTCAATGTCTGCTGTCATAGGCAGCGCTGGTTGGGCTTGTAGACTGTTGGGGGGCGCTGCCTGAGGAGCTCCGCGGAAGCAGCCAGGCTGTTTCTTTACTCACGTGGGAGCGGGCTGAGCTCCACGAGCTAAATCAGCTGGACTGAGCATTTAAGGGGAGCAGAGGAGTCCGCTGCCTTGAGGAGCCTGGTGGTGGTGGTGGAGTATGGTTGCACCTCTTTGCCAGGCAGGGCAGAGGTGAATGGGGTACCTTTCTCCAGATGGGCCGGGCAGATGGACGTGGCTTTGTCCTTCTGTGGTTTTCTGCTAGTGGGCACAACATGGGCCATTGTCCCAGGTGGGAAGCTTCCAGAATATTTGGCATCTCAGAGGGGCATGATCTGCCTTACAGTTGAGCAAGATCATCTGGGGTGCTTTTAGTCCTTATCACTTTCTTTATTGGCACTGGGTATTGCCTTGGTGTTTTAGTCTGTCAGCTTATTGGGGAGAAGTGTTTGTCACTATCATTCCTCTGTAAAAGCTGTGTTGTTTCTAACTTAGAGGAGGGCCCGGAGCCATGGGGCACAGCATGGATTCCTGCTTGACCACCAGAGCCCTCTGATTTCACCTGCCTGCCCCTTGCTCCAGGCCACAGGCCCTTGGCACGGCCACAGGACCATGAACAGAGCCCCGCCTCAGACCTGCCCTCAACCGGAATACCACTATCACTGGCCTTCCCTGCCTTGGGCATGAGTCCAGCTGCTCAGTCAGGGAGACGAAGGCTCATGGGACATTTAGGGGCTTCTTTTGTTCATCTCTACCAGTGACCACCATTTTTAATCCTCAAGTCCACATGATATAAAAAATAAGTAATATAATCCAAAGGTCTGAGGCTGTGACATTACAGTGTTTGATGGACCCCAGCGGTTCCCCACTCTCATGGCGAGGGTCTTGTCTATCTTAGCTTGGTAAAGAGGAGCCCAAGGATGGGAGGCCTAGGGCTACTTGCCCCTAACCTGGCTCCTCGCTTTGTGATTTGCCCATTACCACTGGTACAGCTTGGCATCGGAAGGCCTGTGGATCCTTCAGACACAGCCTCGGTCCTCTCCGCCATCTCTGACTACGGCCCACAGAACTTACATTTATCCATCTGGCATCTGAACGCATTTGAATTTGCAACCCCTTGCCAAATCTGGTCCACTTTTCACTGTGCCACTGTAGGCTGGGTGTCACGCCTGACATAGGCCCAGAAATAAACCAGCCTTGTTCACCCACTCTGTGCCTTAGATGAAAGTCTTATTTCCTCTTCCTGCTGTTCTAAGGAGGTTAAAAAAAGGAACTTATGGGCAGACGGTCCTTTTCTCTGCCCTCCTTAAACCTAATATAATTATGAGGATCAGAGCTGCCTGCCTCCCCAGCCTTCCACCCTGCTCCAGGGAAGGGCATAAAACATGGCAACTTTGCAGAACAAAACGAATCAGCTTCCCTTCCTGGGCGTGCTGGCCTTTGTCCAGCCACCTGGGGTATCTATGCATTTACTGAGTACCAGTTACTGTATAGGGCTCTAGGATTCAGTGCAAATAAGACAGACAATGCCTTGTCCTCTAGTGGCTCACTGGCTTGTAAGAAATGCACAAATTGGAGCTGGAGATTTAGCTCAGCAGCATAAGCACCTGCCTTGCAAGCAGGTGGTTGTGAGTTCGATCCCTGGTACCGATAAAAAGGAAAAAGACAAAAAAAATTGCACAAATTAATCAAGTGATCTGCAATGTGATGACAATGGAAAGTATGGGGACTCACTGGGTCCTTTTCTACCCCACCACAATAATCACACACGTGGGCCTATGATCTCCTAAAGCAGAATAATAGCAATAACTGTACATAGGACAAGAGGAGGCCAGGCATGGTGGCACATTTCTATAATTCCAGCCCTTGGGAGGCTGAGGCGGGAGGATTGGCTTGACTTGGAGGCCAGCCCAGGTTACGTAGTGAGACCCTGCCTTGGGAGAACCAACGAAGGGGAGACAGCATGAGTGGTTCATGTACGGCCCTGTATAGGTAAGTAATTTTTCTCAACTCCCACAGCTAGTGTAGATGATGGGTGAGCAACACGCTTTTGCACAGCCTATTGCATCTCACAATGTGCCACAGCCACATGAAAATAAGATGGGGAAACTGGGTTCACCCCCAGAAGTGAAATGTAAGTGAGACACTGGAAAGGACTCACCGGCAACATTTAAAACCGTAAGAAGAATAGACTCTTCCCTGGGAAATAGCTTCTCCCACGACCTTTCTATCTTGCATAAATAGCATTGTCAAAATAGAGGAATTTTCCAGAAAGAAAAAAAAATCACTCGTTGTTGTGCTTCATGCGTTGTGCTCCATTTCCTGTCTTCCCGGGCCAGGTGAAGGCCATCGCCCAGAAAGGAAGTAGCTGGGGCTGGTTCTGTGGCCGCAGCACAAAGGCAGGGCCAGCCCCTCGCCAGCCCCCAGGATGAGGGGACCCCGGGACACAGAGGCCACAGCAGAGGGAGCAGGTTGCCTCCTGACCCCGTCAGGCCGCTCAGGGAGACCCGAGGCGGAAGCAAGGCTGTGAGGGGTCCCAGGCTACTTCAGATTAAAGTCACCTCGAACCCACATACCCTGGAGGCAACAGGGAGGAGGAAGTGCCCATCGGAGATGTCAGGTGGAGTTAGCTGAGAAACAGAAGTGGCTTCCAAGCTGATCATTGCTGTAGGATCATGAGACACCCCCATGTCTTAATCCATGCCACTCCAGTCAGTTCCAAGCCAGGGGTTGGGGGAGATCCAGGCTTCTTGGGCCCAACTTATTGGACACTTTGGGATATCCCACCCAGCCTGTTCCTCCAAGGATTTCTCTCTTTTTTTTTTTAAATGGGTTTTGCTAGGCAGTTCAGGCTGGCCTTTATACCCCAGGCTGGCCTCCAACTTGCTGCAATCCTCCTGCCTCGGCCACCCAAGTGCTGGGATTACAGGTATGTGCCACCATGCCCAACCAAGGATTTCTTTAAGGCCCAATAAAATATGTGAAATGCTTTAAAGTTTGCCAAGTATTTTCTTTACGGTGCCTCAGCTTTGATTTTGATGCTCACCTCCATCACAGATGGGCAGGACAGGTATCATTATTCTCCACATTGGCGTTTAGGTTATGTTTCAAATCACCAGTAGCGAGCAGAGCCCTGTGCTCCCTGAGGCCTTCTGATTTCTTAAGCCCTCAGCACTTTCTCTTGGTTTTCTGAGTGCCGTGTGAATCTTCCCACATCTTTGCACCGTCTAATTGTGGGCACCCTGCGCAACCTCTCATTCCTATAGGTTAGAAGCTAGTTTTAAGAGTTCTGCCCTCGAATCAGGGGCCCACAGAGAACCATCTGTGTCCCTGGTGGACAGCTCACCGCCTCAGGCTTGGTCTAAGGCACGGGACCCAGAGCTCCAGCAATGCCCTGCTAAGCTTCTTAGAGGAGGTGGGTATTAGCGGGATTGGATGTTCTCCCCTGACATGCCCTTCACACCCAACCCTGCCTTGAATTAGGGTTCCACAGGGAGTCGGGGTGGGAGGATGGGGCGTTTCCTACTGGCCAGCTTTGGACCCACTCCGTGAAACCCTGGGTTCTGGCGAATTCCCAGAGCTGAGAAGACACTGGATGTCGGCAATCCAAGGTAAACAAGATGCTTGGGTAGCAGGGATCAGCAGGGCTCCCAGCTCAGCTCTGTGATCTGGGCCCACAGGGAGGACTGGGCCCCTTCAGTGTTTCCACGAGTGACACCCGAGGCTTGCTGTGGAGAGCTGAGTTCCAGGCATTTCAGAGGGTGCTTGTGGGAGGGGGCAGAGGGAGTTTACTTATTATCACTTCTCCCTTTTTGCTCATCCCTCTTTTCCTTTTTAAGACACTTGTATCTCTGCTTAGTGGGTTGTACTAGAAAGCCTGGAGAATTAGGAGGCTCATCTGCCCAGCCACTCCCTAGCCGTGTGATGTCTAACAAGTCACATGTGCTCTCTGGACTCAGTGTCTTCATGTCTTACATGAGACAGTACCAAGCAGATTCTGGTTTATCCATCCAGATACTTCTGATAAATTCCTGTCATGTGCAAACCGGATCATGAGTTATTGTTTGTAATATCTGTGAATACTAATTAGACATTGAATATTTACTCCCTGGGACTGGACTTTCATGCCCTTTATAAAATGAAGATTTTTTTGGTTTGTTTTATTGGTACCAGGGATCAAACTCATGATTGCCTGCTTGCAAGGCAGGCCCTTATGCCGCTGAGCTAAATCCCCAGCCCTAAATTGAAGATTCTTTGAGCTTCTTTCTTGATTTTTTCTTCCTGCATCCTTGAATGAACTTTAGCCTATATATCACTTTTTTCCCCAGGTTTCACTATGTAGTTCAGGCTGCCTTGAACTCACTACAAACCCACGTTGACCTCACACTCATAGTGATCCTCCTGCCTCCTCCCCCAGTGCTAGGATTATAAGCATATGCTACCATGCCCAGGTAACAGCACTTGGTTCTATTCAATGCTTTTTAGAGACCTTACATGTATTTACATTCTCAAGATTCTTGTGGCATAAGTATTATTACTATTTACACGGCATTATTACAATTAAGTTTCATTTAAATTAAAATATTATATACATGATAAGAAGGCCAAACTGGTAGGAAATTTAGTGAAAAGTCTCTGTAGATCTCTACTTCTCAGATTCCTTTTTCCTTGATGCCCTTCAAAAGATCCTCCTTGTGGGGCTGGGGATTTAGCTCAGCGGCGTAAGCACCTGCCTTGCAAGCAGGCGGTCGTGAGTTCGATCCCCGGTACCGGTAAAAAGATTAAAAAAAAAAAAAAAAAGATCCTCCTTGCATAATCAATGTAAGTATTATTACACCCATTTCACAGATGATGCACCAAGGGTCAGCCTGTATAGAATGGCAGAGCTGGTAAATAGCAGAGCTGGGAAGCAGGCCTTAGGCTTTCTCTAAATCACACTGTCTGGGAAGCCCCATGACAACTAACCTTTTGAGTTTTGTCCTTTCTGGATGATACAGTGGAATCATTTTAAGACAGTGTACACACACACACACACACACACACACACAGAAGCATGCACTGATAGTTCTTTCTGCCTGCGGTTTGCAATCCTGTCTCCCCACCTCCTCATAGCTTTGCCAAGGTGAGATATGTGGCTGGCACCAGCTGTGGTAGCTGAGCCCCCAGCAGCTTAGGCCTGGGCTGGGGACTGGTGGAGCCCCTGCAGGGGCCCAGGACCACTGGGCAGAACCTGCTCAGGAGCCTCAGGGGCTGGGAAGTGGTCCAGAGAGGAGGCCCATAGGTGCCCTTCCTCCTGGAACAGCTGCCTGCCCCACCATGAAGCAGGATGCTTTTGTGTCCTTGGGTCTCCCATTGTCAGTCTTTCCTAAATCAGAGAGTTTTGGGGCCCATATCGCCTCTTAGGGACAAATAACTTCTTTTTAACTGCCTAGGCTTATGGATACCCCCTGGCTGGTCTTCATGGAGAAATCTTTCCTGATCACCACCCTGAATCCCAGAGCAGCTGCTGTCTCTCCATGGACAGAACGAGAGGCCCTCTGTAACCACTCGTAACTGGCCATCATGGGGAAGCTGACCAGGATAGGGCTGCAGGAGAGACGGTTACTCCAGCCAAAAAGGCTTCGTTGGAGTCGCCTCCTCTTCCTAGTGGGAATGTTGGTCATTGGCTCCACCTACCGGCACCTGAGGGGACCTCAGAGCCTGCTCTCACTGTGGGCAGAAGTCTCTTCCCAACAACCTATAAAACTGGCCAGCCGGGACCTCCCCAATGATGAGACAATGATGGTGAGCAGTGAGCCTCCACCAGCTAGCTCTGAAGTGGAGAGGAAGATGGTAGCGCCCCAAGCCACAGTGGGCAGGGATCAAGCACCACCCAGCACGACAAGGCAGAACACCCGCAGTCCACCCAAAAGAAAAGCCAAGATCGTTCCGATGACACCCAAAAACAGTCACAGCCCAACGGCAGCCAGCACAGAAAGAGCAAAGGAAAACACCCCAGTTGCTAGGGTTCTGAATCATGACAGCCCAACTTCAGGTAGACTGACAGTAAACAATCACACCCCAACACCCAGACAAGAAATGAAGAGCTACCGCCCAACCCAAGCCAAGAGGAAGGGAAAGAAGCTCATCCCTTCCCCAACCGGGGGGACAGTGGACGCTTACACACCGGCCACGTTCACGACAATGGCCACCAACCTCGGGGTCACCCCTGGCACAGCCATGCGAAGCAGCAGAACTGTGGCAGCTGCTGAAGTGTGGGAGACGGGTTCTGCCGAGAGAATAGTAGGTGAAACCATCCCCGCCACTTTCAAGGGAATAGTTAAGAACACCCCAATTTTCCCAACACGCAAGGCAAAAACAAACACGTCAACTTCTCCAAGGAGTTTAGTGGAAAAGGACGCGATGAGCAGCCCCAGAAGAGGGGGAAATAGCGGCCTCACAAGTCCTCAGACATCAGTAGGAAAGAACAAGCCAATGACTCCCCGGGAAGCAGCCTTGGAGCACCCCTCAGCCACCTCCGAGGAGCAGGTGACAATCAGCACGGTCACAGGGAGCAGCCTGGTGAAAACCAAAGCCTCTGCTGCAGCCCGGAGTGTGAGGGTCCCCTGGCCCCAAGCCAGTGCACCACCCTCCAGAGCAGCCCCAGTCACCCGCTGGGAGCTGGAGAAGAAATGGCCCATAGCACGAAGCAGCTCAGCCACTCCCAACGTCAGGGCCACCCCGACCACCCAGGTCCAGCACTGTATGGCTGTGGAGTCAGCTCCGGCCGCACCCAGCACCCCATCCCACAGACTGACCACAGCCCTGCTCCCAGGGGTTCCCACTCCCAGTCTCTCAGCACCCCTGCCTGGCTGGCCGGAACCCCACCCCAAAGGAGAGTACCCCCAGGACCTGTTCAGCGTGGAGGAGCGGCGACAGGGCTGGGTGGTCCTGCATATCTTCGGCATGATGTATGTGTTTGTGGCCCTGGCCATCGTGTGTGATGAGTACTTTGTCCCAGCCCTGGGTGTCATCACGGACAAGCTGCAGATCTCAGAGGATGTGGCTGGTGCCACATTCATGGCTGCAGGAGGCTCCGCCCCGGAGCTCTTCACCTCCCTCATCGGTGTCTTCATTTCCCATAGCAACGTGGGCATCGGTACCATCGTGGGCTCGGCAGTGTTTAACATCCTCTTTGTCATCGGCACCTGCTCCCTCTTCTCCCGGGAGGTTCTCCACCTCACCTGGTGGCCGCTGTTCCGCGATGTCTCCTTCTATATCCTCGACCTGTCCATGCTCATCATCTTCTTCCTGGACAGCCTCATCGCCTGGTGGGAGAGCCTGCTGCTGCTGCTGGCCTACGCCCTGTACGTGTTCACCATGAAGTGGAACAAGCAGATCGAGGTCTGGGTGAAAGAGCAGCTCAGCAGGAGGCCGGGAGCCAAGATACTGGCCCTGGGGGACCTCGGCAAGGTAAGGACAGGCGTGGGTGAGAGGCTGGGGGGAGCTCAGGCCTGCGGAGCACAGGAGCTGACACACACCTCCAGAGACGGTACTCAGACCCGCTGGCTGTTTCTCCAGCATTTCTGGGGTGCTCAAGCTCTGCCGGCCGCAATGCTGCGGTCTTTGCAAGTATGACCTTGGCACTGTCCCTGTGCATCTATAGAGCGGTTGTTATTACTGTGACCCCATTTATATGAGAGAAAATTTAGGCCTACAGAAATTAACTGTTTGCTCCAGGTCACACAGCAGATGGGCAGTAGAGCTGAGATTTGAACACAAGCTGGTCTGAATAGATCTTCGGAAGGGACACTTGAGTTGGGCTTTGGGGAAACATCCCAGGAGATGGTAGGTAGGGAAAATGATCTTTTCCACATGCATGTGGCTCAGGGTTGTTGCAGTACCCTTTCATTTGACCATATCTAGACTTATATATTAGGGAGCAGGTGTTTGGCTTGGATGGGATCTGGGAAAAGGCAGGGTTTTTTTCATTTTAATTAATTAATTTATTTTTATTTTTATTTTTCGGTACCAGGGATCGAACTCACAACCACGCGCTTGTAAGGCAGGCGCTTATGCCGCTGAGCTAAATCCCCAGCCCCAATTTTTATATTTTTGAGACAGGGTCTCACACTATAGTGTAGGCTAGCCTTGAACTCACTATGTAGCCCAGGCTGGTCTGGAATTCAGAGATCCTCTTGCCTCAGCCTCCCAAGCACTGGAATTACAGGTGTGTACCATCTCCCCTGGCTAATTTTTGTTTTTGTAATATTGGGAAAGGTGGGAGCACCACTCATTCATAAGCCAGCCCTGGGGGCAGGTGCCCTCTTGGTGTGTCAGCCGGGGGCTGGCCACTAGGACACCAATCCTAGGGCTTCTTGACGCTAAGAACTTCTCTGCCCCTTTGCCGAGCAGTGCTAACTGTGCTAGAAGATTCAGTAACCAGAAGGTGAGATTAGATTGGCCAAGTAAGCTCTGAAACTTTATCTCAAAAGTTTTCATTGATTGAAACTCTAGAGGAAGGGTACCCTCGGGAAGGGAGACCCTTTCTGTCCTACTCCTTGCGTGCAAAGTGTAGAAGGACTTAGCTTCTTAATCCAGGGCAATTTGATGAGCGGGCAGCATGGAGACCAAACTCAGCAGCATACCTGGGAGGCTCGAGGGCCAAGGGAGTTTAAACGCATTTTCTGTGGAATTTCTGAAATAACATGACATTTGGGGTCAGAGCACCCAGCTAGTGAGCCGGGACACCAGGATTCTAACCCGATTCTGCCTCTAATTAACTGTGCAACCTTGGACAGGTCCCTTCCCCTAGAAATGACAGAGTCCAACTGGTCGCCTAAAGGTTCTGTCCAACTCTGACAGTCTGTGACGACATCCTGTGTCCAGTGGTTTAGTTTGGGCAGGACCCAGCGATATAGGGGAATGAAACTCCCGACCTACTGTGTCGGAGAGTTTGTGTTCTCTAAAATCGAAGAACGAATTTTAGAAACAACGGAGGTTAAGAGTCGAATATATTTATTGAGAGAAAGAAAGCTGAAGAGAGACAAAAGGGGTTCTGAGTGGGTTGCCCAGGACTCTGTCTTTTCCAGGGACTTTAACAGAGCAAAATCATGGGGCGAGACAGGTTCAAGGTGGGGGAAGACTGAGAACTCACAAGGCAGGTGGGCCTAAGGTGGGACAGAACTATGGTTAGCCAATAAGATTAATAGTTCAGGTAAAATTGATGACACTGGGGACAAATGGGGAAGCGAGTCATACAGAAAGTGGGCATTCTTAGGGAGCAGTGACTCTTTTTCTAGGGGGTTGGGATGGTGACTCCTGGTTTCCTCGGGGTGATAAGGAACTATTAAGAATATCAGCTCTCAAGCAGGCAGTTGTGAGTTCGATCTCTGGTACCGATGAAAAGGAAAAAGACAAAAAAAAAAGAACATCAGCTCTTAGCATATGGGCGCATTTGTTTGGTCTTTTGTCTTGAGGCCTGGCCCACAGCAAGAGGTGTCCGTCTCCCCCACAGTTGCAAGGTATCTGGGCTTCTGCTCTGGCTCCTTTGAGGACCTAGCCCTGTCTCACTGCCTAGGGTATTTCTAACTAACTCGGCTGCCTGCAACACCAGGACAAAGATTATTTGAGTCGGCAGAGTGAGCTCCTCTGCCACTTGGCAGATGACTGGAAAAAGGGAACTGTCCTGCTCAGGACTGCAGAGCCGGCTTGAGCTTCCTCTCTCCTCATTCTGCGCTCTTTCCCACCTGACTGCTGCTCCAGGAAGCTGCAGGCTTAAAAAGAAAGGGAGACTCAGAGCAGTGTGGACTTCTAAGACAAGGAAGCTGAATCCTCCTTCCTCACAAAATTCTCAGTGCTGGCTGGCCTGGGATGGCCCTGAAGCACTGGTCTCTTCTCTGAGAAAAGCTGTGACATGGACTTGCCAGTGGCTCTCACAGTGCCTCCGCCTTGACCCTAGCTCCTTCTGTTCATGCTGCTTTTATTTAAACTCCATACATACAGGTCCTCCTCGGTGGGAAGACAGAGCAAAGCCAGAGGTGTCAGGACCATTCCGAAGGCAAGTGCTGAGGGGGTGCAGCACCGCTGAGAGTGGACATCTCGGCACCACACGCCAGGGTCAGGAAGACTTCCCGGAGCGGGTGCTGCTTAGACAAATCTAGAAGACAAGCAGGAATTGAATAGGGGGTCAGGGCCATGCTGGTGCATACAGACCAGGGGAAGCAGGGTGAGGGGAGACTACAGCTTCGCTGGCCAGTTCGGTGGCACCAGCTTCGTCTAGCTTGAACACTTCAATGTGGCCTGTTCAACTTGAGATGTGTTTGCCGTGAGTATAAAACAGACCCCAGGTTTCAAAGGCTTAGTATGAAAGAAGGTAGTAAAATACCTCAATATTTTACTCCAGTTGCGCTCAAAATGTATTTGTGACAGGGCATTTTCAGAAAATATCTTCTTGCCAGCACCCCTGGGGACCTGCCGCACACCCAAATGCAGACAAACATGCACAGTCGCTCCCCTGCAAGGTCAGTAATTTGGAACTGAGAGAGTCACTAGGAGAATGTAGATCAGTTCTTTACTTATGCTTGGGAAAAGAACTAGAAGTCATGAGGCCTTTCTGCAGCTGTTTCCTCATCTATTACAATAGCCCTGTCTGGTCCAGGGAGCTCACAGGGATGACTTCTAAAACAAAAGTCCAGACTGAGGTGAGGCAGGAACGATAGCCCAGAGAGAAGTATTTTGGCTGAAACAAATCTGAACAGCAGGGACATTATTATAGGGCTGTGTACCGGTGGGCCTTGCTTCCTCCCTGGGGACAGATCCAAGGAGCCCCAAAGGGCAGCCCAGGACTCCATGCTCTGAGTCCCAGCAGACTTACAGGTGTGAAAGCTTTAAGGGGTGTGCGCAAACAAACAGCGCCTTCTGCAGACTGGAATTGGGCATTTCTGCGCTGCTCCCTCTGTCTGTCCTGTGCATTCAGCTGTCTGTTTCCGAGCATTTAACCCTTCTCCACCCTTCAAAGCTACTCAGGTTCTACCTGCTGCCTGGAGTCCCCTGCCCAGCTCTGCACAGTGCCTTTGTCTCTGCCCTTCATATCATGAACCACATTCTGCTTTGTCCTGTGTCTGTGCTGTATTTGTTAGTTTCTGGACATGGAAGCCATGTTCTAAACATCTCTTACGCCTCAGCCACCAGCATAGCACTGTATAAACAGCAGGTGCTCAAGAACTGAGTTAGGCATGGTGGCGCATGCCTATAATCTCAAGAAATGGGAGGCTGAGGCAGGAGGATTGCAGTGAGTTCAAGGCCAGCCTGAACTGCATAGTGAGATCCTGTCTCATCAATCAATCAATCATCAAACTGAACAAATGACATGGGTGGGTAGGAGGATGGGCTGGAATCACACAGTATATTTTATGTTTTCTCAACTGAACGGAGAACAGAGAATAGTAAATTCAATTGTGGTTTGGCGGTGAGGTTGGTTCAGGGAGGGAAGTAGGGGCAGGTGAAGACAATGCTGAGAGTGACCCTCCCCTACACACACACAGTGTGGACGCCATTCGGGAGCAGCCGTGTGAGCCCCTCACATTGACTGAGCCCCTAGTGTATACGACACTCTATGCCATGGGAGAACAGAGAGGACGCTAGCATAGGTGCTGTGCGTGGGAGACAATGCATGGATGGCAAAAGTTAACAACGCCTTTAAAAGAAAAAGGCGCACATGGTATCACAAGGCTGTCACTGCAAAGTGACAGGGGGTGGTGCCCTGGGCTTCCTGCGGCTTCCTCCCTGTCACCTCAGCTCCTGCAACCACGGGACCTCCACACTCCTGTGACCACACGGCCACGTGCAGCACGACAGACCGGAGGAGGGAGGGGTTAGGGCGAGCTGGAGGGAGGGTGTGTACCCCGAAGGGCGCATCTGGGAAAGCTCTACACGGAAATTCACCCTGAGTTGTCTGAAAACAATGGGGAGGATTCCCATAAGCAGAGAGGAATGTAGAGAGCATTTCAGGCAGGGAGAAGAGCATCAACGGGGAACAGGAGCTGGAACAGAGTATGTGTATTTTAGAGGCCAGTTCATTTATTCAGTCATTTAATACATATTTATTGAATTATGGCTATGTTCACTAATACGCAAATAAATTGGTGGCAAAGAACAGGTATCTACAAAAGAGTACCCTACTAGCTGGGGGTGGTGGGGCACATTCATAATCCTAGTACTTGAGATGCTGAGGCAGGAGGATTTTGAATTTAAGGTCTGATTATGTAGTGAGACACTGTCTCGAAAAGTAAAACAAGGAAACAAACAAAATACTGTACAGTGAACATCATTTTAGCCTCCCAGAATGAGTTGATCAGTTGAGGGCAGGAGCAGGAGGGCTGGCAAGGGGAAGAGCATGTTCACAGGGCAGGAGGCACCGTGCTGTGGGAGCAAGGTGGTGGCTAGCACGGTGCACCTGAAGGCTCTGGACA